GAAGATAAATAATTAAATGTAAATGAATACTTGGCCAGTTAAAGGATTTTTCCACATGACCAACTTCACCTCAGAGTCACACTGGTACACACCTGGCAACCTTGTTAGTCACTTTAAAATGCTGAGTGAGAGCTTGACCAGCACAGGCCTGATTTCCGTTCCACACTTTGGTAAATTGCCTTAAAGCATGGGAATCTGTCACTTTGGCGCAAGAGTCTGTGCACTCAATTTGTCAGTTTGAAGAACGAAATATGACAAGATGAAATAAAGACCTCGTTTTTAATATCCTTTAGCGGGAAGAGGGCGTAGTGGTGTGATCAGCGTGGCGAGTTTGCTCCCAAAATCACACTGTCTGGCTCACTCAACAAAGCTCTTTTACATATGTGTAGTTTGTGTGTCAGTTTCCTCACTACAGCATGTGTGTCTGTGTGCACATGTATGATATATGTATGTGAAAAAATATGCTTGTGTTCACATTGAACAAATTAGGGCAGCTGGTCAGACTTAAGGTTAGTGGAACAAGTTTTTAACTTAAAGATCTCAAATTCAAATTGCTGAGCAAAGACAGGAAAAGTGGATAAGTACCATTTCACCCTCGTGATTACTATTGTGATCTTGCGCTTAAGCATGGCTTTTAACCCAGGGCAGCTCCCAGGAGTGAAAGTGTGGAACTCTGTGGTTGTACAGGGGGGCATTGCAGAAACATGTTTAAAATTATAGGATGATATAGTCATGTGAGACATTGTTGAAGATCTTTTTTTCTATGCAGAAACACACAGAGGCAAAGTCTGAAAGTGTTCTATGTGTGCTGGAAAATAAACATCTGCATGTCTAGTCTAATTTGAAATGAATAAAAATTAGCACCTTTAGGCATCCTATGTGGATAGAAATAGTAAACAGATCGCTCTGTGAACAAGATTAGCAAATACGTAACATAGAAATGAAAGTTAACTTAACCAAGATTATGACACCACTCTTACGACACATTGCATTTAAGGACATATTTTGTGGAAGGTCTTCCACAACATATGAGAACATGATTTTACTCAAACACTTTTTTCACGCTTCCTGACAATATTACATGTTTCATTGAAGATAACTGAAAGAGCTTTACACTGTGTGTTTTTAAGACTGCACCAGCACACAATGAGAATATTCTGCATTTTACGTGCATCATATTATACATATTTCACCATTTGCATGACATATTTAAAACTTCTGATTATAATTTAAAAATAAAGTTGTGTGCACTCAAGCTTGTCTGCGTAACACTCACTGTATGCTTATATTGTCTGTATGTTGAGTCTGTCTGTCAGAGGTCAGGTACAGCATCAGGGAAGCGTGCTGTGTTTGCATTGTCCACATCAAGCTGGAAGTCTGCATGTCCCATCTTGACCACCTCGCAGCAGTCAAACTTTCACTTCCCTTTCCATCTTCTCTCTTTGATTCTTTATATACCGTACATGTATTGTTTATTTGTAGCGCGACATCTACCAAGTGGTCAACAGCGAAACTCAACTTTATTTTGAATTCACTTCAACAGTTTGCTTTCACTCACTTCCTGGCCAGAATTGCTGTAAATGGGAAAGAAACCGGAGGGAGGAGAGATATCCTGAAGCTTCTTCTGTGTCCACACATACCTGCCTAATCCCTAATACCGCCCTGCAGTCTGCAACTCCAACACTTGCACGGCCAGTTTCTGGCAAGTTACATTTATGTGTGTGAGTGTTTTGAGCTTACAGAGTTCTTTTGAGAAGCAGAGTGATTTAGTGGGAGACGGACGCAATAAGTTTGTTCAGGGTTTATATTAGGGGAATAGGGAACTGTGAGAACACACAAATATGGAGGAAGACCTGCATAACCAAGAGTCCGTAAAAGTGCTTGACATTTATTCATATGTTGACAAACCCAGCGCACCATGTGTGGCTTATTCTGAAGGATCCGTCTCAATACCTTGAAGATTTGAGAGAACACAGAAAAACTCTAGATCCTTCTCTCTGCTTCTTTTGCTCTCTCGGCTCCAAGGAGCTACAAGAGGATGTGGCCTGATGTGGACAGTCAGGATGGCCTACAGCGGTGAAATGAGCTGTCCACCTTTCTAAAAAAAAAACTAGAAGAAGAATTTAATCATGTTTCAGTCAGAGACCATCCAGCTCGGCCAAGACAAACGTCTGGGGGAATCACCGCTCCACAGTCAGGTGTGGTTGTGCATTTACACATGGAGACACACACACACACACACACACACACACACACACACACATTTGCAACACAGACACATCACTCAAATGGAGGCTTTTTGGCAATAGTAGCTGGATCGGTCGAGGTAGTGTCAGTACGTGTGTGTGTGTGTGTGTGAGTGAGAGAGAGTGTGAGTGTGAGTGAGTGAGAGAGAGAGAGAGACTGAGGAAGTGTGAGAGAGCCGACGACCCGGAACGCACAGTGGCGAGCAAGCTGTCGGTCCAGGTCTAAAGGTCTGCAACGTTTCAGCGACTGCAGCTATACGCTGAGTGACACCCTCAAACACCAACCTCCCTGCTGGCCTAAACTGTGCCCTCCACAGTGTGTCTGACTGAGAGAAACACACACGCAAAAATCAACCTACTACTTGCATTCCCACACGCACCCGCATTCACTTGCCCCACCAGGCATCCTCATCTTCATCTTGGCACAGTGCAGCCAAAAGTAACACAAGTCAGCTCAAGGTAAATAAATCAGCTAATCACTGGATGCTTATAAGAGGCTGGTAGTCTGCCCATCACACGAGTACAGTATATATACATTGGAGGATTATTAATGCTGAATATCCTCTTTATTTTTCTCACTAATTCCTGTTGGTGGGGTAAGGAATTTCCTCCATACGGTTAGCTGTAGTTCAATTCCTGACTCACCCGGTAAGCCGTTCCACTCAATGATCTATGAGACTGAGACAGAAAAACTGTAATGGAGAGAAACAAAGAGCTCCTGTAATTGACAGGGGTGAAGGCAACAAAGAGAGAAACTGCGGAGCATAAAGTTCCTTCCGAAAAAATAACTTTCCTCCAAATTTCCTTGGCACAGCAACCAGTATAGGCCATTTAGCTACCAAATCAGAAAGAGTATTCGCAACAGCAAGCTCTCCCGCCTTCCCTGGCTTCTCCCAGATTTCTCTGTTCTCTCCTTCAAGTGCTCAGGACCACAGGTTTCTTCAGAATGAGGGTAATAAGCAGAGCACATCTGAATCCTTTCTACCCACGTTCTTTCCTCTCCTTTATCCAACATCAGAACGCTTCAGAATCCGCCACAAAAAAATTTAACCTTTTTTCCCTCAAATTTGAACAAAGTTACCTGAAATGTATTACCTCATAACTTACATTCTTCTTATTAATTGCTTTTACATAATATTACATATTTCAACTTGCAGCCATCTGATTATGGGACAAAGCTCTTTCTCCTTGCCCCAACATCATAATGAGCAGAGACGATTACTCGTCCAGATCCCAGGGAGGTGCTACTGTGTGTTTGTGCCACTTTTACATAAGCACTTACATATAGAGCACTTAGAAGCAAAGTGCCCCTTAGTGAGAAAGTGAGTGTAAGAGACATTACAGCTGACAGTGGTGCATTAGCTTTGTGCAATAACTCTAACATGAAATGAAACTTTGACTGCTGCAATTTGTAAATCAAATAAGGCAGCACCACATTTTGGGGAAATCGTTCACCATGCTGCAAAAACTACAAGTAGGACTACAAAAAAACCCGGACCAAATCAAATCCAAATGATTTCTTGACAATATTGTGCAGATGCAGTGTGCAGGCATATATGCGCATGTGTGTGTACAATATGTGTGTGTGTGAGTTTTAGGTGTGTATCTACAGTAAACTAATCTCACCCATGGGATTAGTGGTTGACTTGGCCAGTGACTCTCATGCTGTTCCAGATGTTTATCATGTCATAAAGGCCTCAAGCTCTATGTGAGAAATAGGTAGGAACAGAAACTCCTGTCAACAGACACTTTCCAGCTGTGCAGCCCAAGTTGTGAGGGACATGTTGATCTGTACAGCGGATCAGCAGCACATATAACTCAACAACCACAAACTTCCTTCGTTCGACAATTGATACAATCAAAGTCAATCATCAAGACTCGCATTCAGCACAACAGACACACACGCAGGTGTAGCCACATGTGGAGCTCTTTCTGCCGTAGTCTTCCTGTTAGCACCCAGTATAGACACAGCAGTGCCGAGACAGATCGAAACGAAAACACAATTTTAAGCTTTCCCTTCAAAACATAATATGTTTTTTGATATGAAAACAGCTGGCAACCTCCATCTTAGAACAAACAACTCCACATGCTTTTCAGTGTATCAGTTTTAGAAACGTCATAGCAAGCTCGACGCCAGCTAAATTCAGCTTTAAGAACACTATTGCGCCTTGTTCCACCGGTGCCAGTCGTGCGTAATGAGGCTGTTCGGCTGGAGCGCACCAGCTGGCTGTACAAGAGGAGATGTCAGTCACCATCCACATACAGTATCAGGCTTAACAGTTGCTAAGTTCTTGTTACCATAATACATCCCTTTCACGCCCCGACAAGTCAGAACTGATATTCAAATGGCGCATTCCTCAGTTATTGGTCTGAATTATTATGTATAACTTGGGAGAAACTTTCTGAAATCGGAAGAGTATAATATTAGCTGTGTACATTTAAATGTCAGCATCCATTCTCTTACCAAAATGTGTGTCAGTGTGCAGTAACTTGACATAGAGCCACTTTGATGATTTACAGCTTATGAATGATTGTAAGGGCATCAAGATAACTCCTCTAGGCTGGGACGATGTGGCCTCTGGTGGATTTCATTAGATACTTTTGATTGAGAGATGCAAGCCTCATTTATTATCTTTAAATTTAGAATAAACTGTCATTTACACGTCCTGTCAAAGCAAGGTGTCTAGACATTCGGTGCAACTTTCATTCGAAAGAATCTCTTTGATGAAGACAAGGAAAATTAAAAGTTCTTACCGAGATACTGTCGGATGTCCAGCAGGATTTTAGGGGGTCCTCCGTTCAGCTGGTAAAAAAGGGAGCCGAAACAGAAGAAGAAAAGCGTAGCCATGCAGAAACCATAACCTCGCAAGGAAAATCGCAACGGTAAAGCAGCGAGTAAGCTGTACTTTCTGTTGTTTCGCTCTTTGATGTGGTTGGGAGTCTGGTGGTTGCTGTGAAGGGGACTGCTGTTGAAATTCTTCATCATCTCCTCCTCACAAAGCGCCAAGGAAAGTCACCCATCCGCCTGTGAAAAGTGAAACTTGTCCCTTTGAGATCATTTGAGGAGGACAGCCAGTTATTTTGGAGACGCGCAGGCACCCAGCTCACCTCCAGTGCCGCAGCCACGGGGTTGTTTTTTTGCGCACAGTGTTTCGCTTCTGCTCGTTCTCCTCTCGTCTGCGCTCGTTGATGACTGTTCCTTCCTGCCTGTCCTTCCAACCGAGTTAAGGGTCCATCCTTCTGCTCTGAGTCTTTTTGGGTGTCAGATTACTGAACGTGGAAAAAGGAAAAACTTCCACCTCATACAGGATTTGGTTTGGATTGCAATGCGTAAAACAGCGTCACCTAGTGTTCACAGAGAGAGAGGGGGGCCTTACGTACTGTCGGTGGGAATTTATTGAAACGGGTTTGATTTGTGACAGCCTTTAAACAGAGACTAACAGGAGGTCTGAGGAAAGAGTTTTAAATCAGCTGTGAATTTACAATTTTCATGTATGAGAGAGTTGTAGCGCTGTCCTTTGCCAAAGCAAACAATTTGATTTTGAGAGATCATGTTACATTGAAATGCCAAAACACAAAACATTCACCCTTAATAGAAACATTACAGCGACCTACTCCTTGTGTAAAGTAGTTGTTATTTATAATAACGAGCTGTGTTATCATCACTTTAAGGGTAGATGTTTGATGTATGTTGAAAAGAATTTATGAGTGTGTATTTTAAACTTTCTCCTTCCCTCAGGCCAGCGGTAAGGACTGTACACCGAGCCATATATATTTCCACAGCAGGGTCAGAACCCACCATTAGACTACACCTGCATTTAGGAGATGACAACAGTCATTCAACACAGTAACTACCTGCTGATGTACTTTTACTGGTGACAGCTACTGTAATCAAGGGAGCATCAATGTTGATGAAAGACAATTTGCCTTAAAAGAGCACAATAATTCTGTGGAGGGGTGAATGGCTTGGCGTTTCCACAGGTAAATGAATTGTAAATATTACAGTACTGCATTTTGCAAGGTTGGCACAATGAGCATGAAAGCATTATAGCCCTGCCAGCCCAATCTAACATGCAGCACAATAGTTTATTGCTCCGAACTACAGTATGGATGCCAGGAAGGTCACTGCTATAAAGCTGGTTTAGTCTAATCAGAACTACTGACAGTGCGATTTAAACCAAATCATTCCCGGTGGTGTGATTCATTTTTTTTGGACAGGGGAAGAAAACTGCCCCTGGAGGAAGCGAAAACAAACTCCAGACAACCAGGACAAACGTTTAAAATGTAATTAGCCCAGATGTGTTATTCAGGTTTTAGCCATTAAATCAGCACCTCAACACCTCAGGTTGTGTTAGGTCGACAGTATTTATTGCTTAGCAATATCCTGGGGCTGGAAGTCAAGTTCCTCGGATTCAGGAAATAGTGTGTCTACACACCTGTGGTTACTTGAGGTTTTGCGTACACTGGTGAAGTCATATTACAGTAAATGCAGTACAGTACAGGAAAATAGCTTGAGACAGAGACAAACAAATCTCATTCTGGCACAATCATAGCACATTTGAACAAGGCCCCCTTCGTCTATACTAAGGAGCACCTGTTTAAGACTAAGAAGCCCCTTAATTGAGTTTACACTACCATAATTAAACTCAACAGGATTCTGTGCTGGGGGAATAACCTTGCAAGCTACAAAGTCAGAGTTGGATTTACCTTCCACAAAAGTAAACTTTAGGAATTAGACTTCACATATACAGCAAACCTTCCGTGGAACTACTTAAGTAACTTCGGACCTCCGGGGAGGGGAAAAAATGGCAAGAGAATTTCCCTATAAAGAACAATAAAAGTATGATACTCATTGCAGTTTATCACTGAGGAATCTTCAGTATCACAATGGCTATTCTCTCTCCTGTGTGCTTTGTGTCACATTAGTCATGCTCATTAGTGATAAAGTAGGCTATGATCCATTCATATAAATGCAAGATCAAAACTGATTGTTGGATTCTTGACTGTAATATTGTATAAGTCCCCCAGCAGAGTTTGAGGGAACTTGTATATGGACACAAATAAAATTGTGAATAAACACTACAGAGGAAAGTGGTTCAGAAAAATGGGAGGAAATTATGAGGCAGAAAGTCGTCATTGCTGTAAGGTTTCATTTTTACCTCCAGAGATATTTTAAATTGAATGAGTAATTGTATCCCCGCGAACCTGTACACAGGATAAGCGGCTGACGATGGATGGAGTAATTGTATCTGTGGAAGACAGAGTCGTGAACTGGAAGCTAACTGCTTATTACAGCTGTAGATAGGAAAAATATTATACAGTAGTTCCATTTTTAAAAATGTTTTTAAAAAGTACTAGCAACTAGCAAACAAAGACGTACTAAGGCCAAACACAGATAGAAGTTATGGAAGTAAAATAATAGTAATAGCAACAGCTACACTGCAACAAGAGCCAGACAGGCAGCCGAACTCTGCTGTCTTGGTCCTGAGCAGATGTGTATAGTTTTATAAATGAGGCATTTCAAGTAAGACACAACAAGACAAAGTTTTAAAGTTCCTTGGTTTCAGAGCTCCAACTGGCAACCGAACCTTTGACAGTATAATACGTACAGTTGTTATACTGTACAGTGTACCCAACAGAGATACTGTTGGGTACACATCCCAATAAGGTCACAGAATTCTTCTATTTTTCCTTTTGACCAAGCCCTAGAAAATGAATATCAAGCTTCTTATAAATAAAAATAATGACATGTTTGACAAGTCGTGTTTTTATTCCTTTTGTTTCCCCATCCACACTTTCTCATTTTTAATTTCAAAATGTTATTAAGAAAGTTATCATCAGGCCAATGTCACAGCTAACCACATTGATGAAGAGAGCCAGTGGGCCACACCCACATCTTTCCATGACTGTGTGTGCGTGTATGTGTGTGTGTGTGTAAGTGCATAGCGACAATCAGATGGCCAGTGTATGGCAAGAAACAGTTTTTATTATATTTCAGAATGACAAATAGCTATGGACATTACTTTTGTTGTTTCAATACACAAGCAAATCTGTATGGACAATCATTAGGTAGATGAAAACCAAATAAAATAATTTGTACACATATTTTACAATACATACTGTAGTTCCTCACTGGCTAAAGCAATATGCATTATGCAGGAAGGTATTGCTATTGATATAGTACAGCTAATTACAGTTGATATGAAAAAAAGCAAAAATAAGTTATTTAAATATCAATTACATATACAGAATGTGCAACTTCTGCTAAGCATTTCATATATGTAATTAAGAATTTATTGTTGTGAAGCGAATAACTGGAATAGGTTAACCCGTGAATGGTTATTAAACTTGGCACTGGGAACTCAATACTAAAATAAAATACCAGCATAACCCATTGAAACCCTTTATAATACCTGACAACAAATGTCCTTATAGACTCGTGAACAAAATGTAGCCAATTTTGCCTATTGGACAGCTAGATTTACCCTCTAAAGTGCATTTACAGTGTCAGTATTTTCATTCTTTACAAAACACTAAATGAGTCTTTTAATTTTTGTTAATACCGACCCCCATCCTCGCATTCTCAGAGCACCACTTTGATTGAAGAGAAAAAAGGCATCAAACATCTATCTATAAAATGCCAACCGCACAAAAAAAAAAATCCTCTAATTCTCGATTTTCAATAACACTTTTTAAATATGAAATCCATGGAATAAGTCTTCTACGAAAGACAGAACTCCTGCTTATTTTCAGTTCACTTTTTGGCCCATAGTTTTTGTAACAGGCTGACCCTATGCAGTGTTTCCCTGATTTGCAAGACTTATTTAGTGTCATAGTGTATGCTGACCTTGGAGGTCTGCTATCACCTGATATAACTGTTCATACTATCTATTCTCAGTGTGTTTGGCAAAAGTCCATTTAAGAATTTCAGACCAGCATTGATTATAGCTACGATAGACTATGATTTAAAAGTCCCAAACAGCGTATTATCAAACTATAAATCAAAATCCTCAACTCTGTAACCAAAGTGTAGACAGTTCTATAAATTCCAAATATGACAACCCAGATGTCAGCTGGGTCTTTGGAACATTTTTATTTTCTCCTTCCTCCCTAGTCCCACAACCCGCTGCATGGAACATGTACAGTGAATGAGTTGGGATGTTAAACATGTGGTTTTGTGGTTTATCATCTGAGCTCCACAACACAATCCATCAGAGGCATGTTTTTCGTGGTCCACATCCATGTGCACCACTGAAATGATCTGGTGGAATGTGTGTTCATAAAATCTCAACTCTTTCTCAGACTTAGACACATTCAGAACAAAAAGGCTTGCACCGTCAGCACACTTTAGCCATTAGTCATGGTATAGTTAATACTATACATATGTTCTATTTGATGATAAGGCAACTTAATATGTGCTTGGATACACAGGGAATGTATTGTTGCTGTGAAAGCAGATTGTGATTACTGGAGTAAAACAGAGCTTTCTGTAAGACTCATATTCATATCGGAGCAGGGCGTGCATCCAGCATATGCAGTGAAACAGGACACACTGTATAATATGAAATAAAAAGGTGTGATGTCAGCTGTTTCAGCTTAGCAATGACTGAGAGGTGGCCCCAAAAATAAGGCTGCAACATTCAAAAGGCAAACACAAATTTTAACATATTAATCATTTTATATTTCAGATATGTGTTATGCTATAATACAGAAACATGATACAAAATAAGCCATCTCAAAACCACCAGTTACTCATAGTTTGGTGTATGTATTTAGTTAATTAAAAGTCCAGATATTAAGTGAATTCTTTCATCGTCATTATGAGAACCTATTAGAGGGAATGAAACGCTGAATGAGAAGTGAATCGCTTTGGCCGAGCTATTTCCTTAAAAGACCCTCAAATAAATGTTGCCTTGCCACAAAAGATGAAAATGAAGCACTTATGAAATATGCAGGAAGAAACTGTCTTTTCTGTATTTAAAAAACATCCATCCTACAAAAGAGTGTGCAATCTTCCTTCAAGGCAGATCCAAGTCTTTATTTTTAGACTTCTCGGGTGTCTTCAGAATGGAAGCCATCCCACAGAGTGAGTGTACAGTCATTTTTTTTTTTTTTTAAAGGCAATTGATATCTTGTCCTCGCTGTAGTACTCTTCAATGGCGTAAACATTTGAGAAAAGACAGCGTTATTAAGAGAGAAAATCAGGGAGCAGGGTGGCTCACTATGAGTCTTTTGACACGTGCGAGACAGGAAGTACTGTAGTGCTGTGGTCGTCGTGTCCTGTGGCCAATTTGCCTTTGGTCACCTACTGACCATGTTTAAATGAGATGGTACTGACCAGTGAGTTGATACCGGTTATTTTACATGACTCCACCAACACGGTTAGGACTGCACCTCTCTGTGCGCGCTGACCAATCGTGCCTCGCTAACCAGTCGGCGGGCATGTCTTTCATCCCGCACCCCTGCCTCCCACACACTGCTCTCCGTTAACAAGCCTACATGGCTCAGCTTGTCAATTCCCGCCGCCGCCAGAGATGTGGTGTACATGGGCAGGCCGATGGAGGTGAGCCAATCAGAGACTGTGCTGATGTGACCCGAGGGCAGAGGCTTCCGGCACATCTCTGTCAAACCTCCTGAAGGTATCTGAGAGGGAAAAAAGCCATTGGTTACAGTAGCTACTCTGATGATGTCACATTGCTGAATATGCAGAGAGATCTGAGCTGACAAATCAGTAGAAGTTCAAAATTGTTCAGGCAACTTTGGCAATGCAAGTTGTGTTCCTGAATGCCAGCCTTTTTTGCCACATCATGTAAAGTTACAGGGAGAAGATAGACTTTATTATGTCTTAAAAGTGACCTAGTATGCTTTTCCGTATTTTCTGTCATTTCTATTATGTTACAATGTCGGTTGTTCATGTTAAACATGGCCAAAGCTCTAAATAGTGAGGTAAACGTATTTAAAAGAAATCCCTGTGAGCCAAAACCTCAGACTGTTCTGAAAGCTCCTTTCAATAGTTTTTCTACTCTTGGCTCCGTGTGATGTCATACGGAGTCCGTTTTCCATATATGGTCATTTGCCCCACCCTCCTGGCAGCCACTACGCTCAGTCTATCTATACCGCTCAGTACAGGATGACACGCTGGTCATTTGAAGTTTAAGTTGTTCAATATGTAGCCAAGAAAGTGCTTTTTTGGTGGCCCTTAATGCAGGCCCCCATTTCAGAGGCCTGCATTAAGGGCCAGTGTAAGAAAAGAATTTTTTTGAGCTACCACACAGGAGTCACAGAACTACAATTTAGGGCTGGAAATGCTGTGTAATAGGTCACCTTTAAGTCACTTTTACGCTGCTTACAACAATAATACATCGACAACTGCTTTTAAAAAAAATCTCTCTCTGCATTTACCCAGCTTGTTAGATATTTAGGCAAGCACAATAATCACTGCTCCACAGTAAGGGTGCCAGCCTTTGATACAGGAAAATTCACAACTGGCCTATTTTCCAGGCCGTATTGTTACTTTCTAGTAAAGCCCCACTAAGCATGAATAACTCTAAAACTTGTTCCCAGCATTGTCTCCATTCTTATGAAGTTCTCAGGAAGATCAGTGTTATTGCCTTACAGCCATACGGTGTTGTTTACGGAGCTCTTTGACTCGGAACTGGTCCATTATGGAGGCCACCTCTTTGACAGGCTGATCCAAGTCCTCTGAGTAACGCTGCACCAGCGGTTGGGGGATGCCACACCGGCCATGCTGGAGGAGAGAAGGGGAGAGAGAGACTTGAAATTCAAATTAGCTTTATTGGCATGAATGTATCACAACAATATTGGTTTTATTGACTTTACACGAGAGAGGAATTATAAAACACAAAAATGAACACAAACCAATGATTTCAGAGAAGAGGACAATATGTCAGACATCTGAATGTGTCCGAGAGCAGTGTATGGACAACCACAGAGAAGCTAATGGGCAACATGAAGTGGGGTGACAAAAAGGAGCATTTTGACTTATTCCAGTCATTAGGGAATTAAAGGGAATCTTAAAGGGAAAATATGAAGACAAAACAATAGAATATAGACAGTATAATTGAACTCTGGTAAGTATTTTGTTCTGGCTCCCATACAGTACTCAACAATAACCTAATCCCTATTTTCACTTACACTGAAAGTACATGCTGGATCTTGTTTTGTCGGTCATGTTTATTTCTGCTATTAATATTTAGTTTTATCTTGTTTTGCCTCAATACAAGGGAAAAGAATCAGATTAGGGTGAGAGAAAAGGAAAGAACTTAAAAGACTTTTCTCGGCAGTGACTATGCGAGGGATAAAGCAGGGCAGGAAACTCTGCTGAACTTTTTGAGCATGTTTTCTTGTTCCGTCTTTCTTTGTGTAGACACCTGGAGCGATGGCAGGTTTCCAGCAAGGCCTGGTTTTGGTTGGCCAAACTGAACCGGAGGTCTTTTGACGATGAAAGGGTGGGTGGACGGAGGAACTGATCTCTCCGGAGAGGTATGGAGAGTACTCTTCGCGCTATCTGGATTATATGGGGCCAGATGCCTTTGGGCATCCAACAATGAGCAAGCTTCAAGATGTACAATCATTTGATTTTATTCTCTCTGACTATGCGCAGGGCTGGACATTGTTTGAAATGTCATAATACACGTGCCAATTTATCTTACATTAGGTACCTTTACCACAATTGTTTTTTTCTTTGACAGTTTTGTTTTAGGAATCTAAACATTTAATAACCACTCCTATTTAAAAAAAATATTCCAAACTTCTCAGTGTTCAATGTTGTCTTAAGCTTTACCTTACAACAACTTTTCCTAAATAAAACTTTTTAAAATGTCCTTATTTTTAGTCTTATTTAATGTACAGTAACTTTGTTTTTATTTACTGTAAGAACGGTACTTTCTTGTTGTTCTTACACTTGTTTATGCTACTTTGTACACTTATCTATCTCTGCTCTTATCTTTGCTGTTGCAAACTGCAATTTCCCCACTGTGGGACAAATAAAGGTTTTCTTATCTTTTTTTCTTTTCTTATTTATATCAGCAAATATATTGACTAATTAAAAAAGATTAAAACCAAGCATTTGATTATTGACTATTTATACTCGACTGTTTTAGATACTCACTGCTACAGGCACTGATGTTTGACACCAAGGCCAAATTATGCTTCTCACACCCTTCAACATTTTGACCTGTATGACCTTTGCCACCTGTGACTGCATTTATGCCTCTGCAGGCTCAAACCCTACATGTTGCTACTACAGCAGCAGTGTGCCTCTCATGTCTCTGCCAATCCACTTCTAACTAATAGGAATCCAGCAGAGCTGTGCTGTGGTCTAACGTACTATTTCTCACCTCATCGCTTGATACCTCTGTGTGTTTGTGTGCGTGTTGTTTTCCTGCCAGTGTCGGGGGCTCCGCCATGTTAAAAGGGGCCCAGCCTGGGGTCTGGCGAGTGGGACAGGGTTTTATAACCCTGTCTGCCTTCAGTAAGATTCAGCCCATAAACTTAACAGTCTGAACCGCATCACACTGAAACACAGCCCACAGTATTTCCCTCAGCTCCAGGCAGCATATTTTATTATTGTGCGCACACACACACACACACACACACACACACACAGAAAGGCATCTGCACACAAAAAGAATCACTATTATTCTCTATTTTTAAACTAAATGAGTTCCAAAGCAAGCTGCTCATGTTGTTGGCCTTAACACAGAGTAATTTAGATACAAGCGGCAGTGAAATTATGAGTGAGTCAAGTTAGGCATGTTACAATGCTAAACTAAAAAGCCTGACGCCAGTATAGCCCGAGGAATATTGGAGGCCCAATTTCACATTAGCAAATATGACTTCACATGTTTTTGCTTTATGGGATAAGATGTGGTTTTTAAAAGAATTCCTCACCTCATCTCTGTTCCTTAGTGTGTACTTTTCTTTTTAGTGACTTACATAAGCATGTAAAAAAAGTCAGAATGATCAATTACTGAAGGAATCGAAGTTTTTGTACTTTCAATGGGATGTCATATTGCCTCTATCTGTTTAAAATCTAAATCTAAATTGTGAGGTCATCTTTCTCGTCTCATGTTTAGATTAATGATGCTTTGCTAACCTTGTCAGAGTAGGGCTCCTCCGTAAGATCGATGCCCTCAGACTCCAGCCGTTGTTCCAGGAGGGTGAGCAGGTCAGGACTCATCTTGGCATAGGAAACCTTCCTTGCAACAGCCACCTTGCCCCCCAGATCTGATAACCATGGAGGCTGCACTGCTGATGGGGTGCCTGACTCCTCGCCCATGGACAAGGCGGATGAGGTGGCACAGGGGCTGGTGGGGGTGCTTGGGGTCTTGGCAGGCAGAGCAGGTGCACTGGGGCTGTGGCTGCTGCCGCGGATTATAGGGCTACTGGGGTGAGAACGTGTGAGGGAGTGAGTAGGGGAGGGAGTGGGAGAGGGTGAGGAGGGTAGGGAGAGCGGGGGGTGACGTAGGCCGTTGGCTAGTCTTTCCCTAGACTTCTTAGCAGGAACGGGAGGAGGGACTGGGGGCTTTTTGGGGTGAGTCCAGGTGACCCTCTCCCCACTCACATTAGACTCAGGGGGACTTGGAGTAGGACTGGAGAGAGGTTCTGCAGGGTAGGGATAGTGGGATGTGCGACAAGGAGGGTGGAGAGGCAGCTGGGAGGGCACAGGTGGTCTGTCGGCCCTACCTTTTGGGCTCACTGTTGGAGTCCTTTTCCGAGCTGGGGAACCCTCATCTCTACAGACCTTGTTGGGGCTACTGTTGCCTGATTTGGGTCCTTCCTTGGTGAGTTTAAGCTCCATACCCAGATCCTTCTGCTCAAAGCTCTGCTCCCATTGCAGATCACCCAGAGAGTGGGAGCGTTTCCAGGGTCCAGTAGGTTGTGGGGGTCCATCCAGGTCCTCACAACTGCGGCTAGCCAGGATTGGGGACTGTCTCTGGGCTTTGCGCAGTCCTAGCAGATTAAAGCCCTTCAGGGAGGGTTTGATGAAGAAGCTTTTTGGGAACTTTGAGCGCTGGTTCTTGCTGTTCTGCTGCAGAGCTTCTGTTGAAAGGGTCATGGGCAGGGTGGGGTAGTCTGGAGACTGGAGGCCTGCTGAAGAACGACTGGAACGAGAAGCCTTTCTGCTCTTACCTGCAAAATGAAAACATTTATCCTCTCTTAGTGATGAGATGTAGACACTTTCACCCAAGGGTGACCAAATTTTTAAGGAGTTTCCCCTCTTTTGTAAAACTGCTTTACAGAGAATATGTCACTCCTCAGATTTCTACAAACATGCTTCCGTTAGTATAAAAATCTGATCCAAAGGTGAACATAATTGCTATGGAGAAGGAGAGGAAAATATCTATGACATAGCTCACAATCTGGCTCACGTGTGTTTGCATCATTGGAAAACATGTTCACAGCACAAATTATTTCACCTATTAGGTCATCTGAAAAAATAAATCTACTCATATAAATACAACATTGTCATTGTTTAAGTAAAACCACAGTCAAAAAGAGATCCAAGGTTTATGAAGGAGTGGTAAGATAAGCTCTTTGACTCATGACCAAACTGGCTGATTTGTTGTTGTCATAGTAGCAATCCCAAAATAAAGATATATGAACGGGTTAGTTCAGAAACATTGGAACAAAAGGCTGAAGCAACTTACCATCTATCCTTTAGCTTACAGAGCAAAATGGATGGATGGATGAAATGGATGGGTGCCACATGGTGTGACTTGCCAAAGAGTTTAAATAGTGGGATGAAATGTCATGAAATATACAACAGTTCCCAGAAATGCCAAAAAAAGTTATGTATATTGGTATGCTACAGCCAATTTTGTACAAGGGATTATAATAAATTAAATCATATGACAGTTCCAAGAAATACTATATTTACTTTGTTAATTTTCAGACATGAAATCAGAGCAGTCTGCTGTCAAATAAAACAAATAATTTCAAAATTGTCTGTGACTTCTGTTGCAATTGGATTTTTTAGCAACATAATCAGCGGCAAGTAACATGTTAAAATTATGTCTACTATGATGTATTTTATGCACTGAAATGTAGTAAGAACACTGTGGCAATAAACTTAGGAAACTGATATATAATAAAACATCAATTCACTGTTTATCTAAAATATGAGTAATGAGTAATATTAGACTGATTAAAGATGCATGAAATGCGGCCTTTTCAAATAAATAAAAATGGCATCAAACCTTGTGTGTCATTGATTTCTTTTTTTGCATTATGCGAATCACTGAGTGAAGGTCACCATTACCAGTCTTTTACTTAACTGACTGATACATCACCACATATCGATAGATTGCATAAGTCATTTGATTATATGAGGGAGAATTACTACGCCTAGTTACAGGAAAACTGATCAGACACGTAAATTTTAAAGAAAGGTCTTTTGATTAGAGAGCATACATTCAGGGCTCTACAGTGACTTGAAAGTTTGAAAGACATAGTCTGCGTAATCCATTTTAATGACCTTCAATTATTCAAATCAAATGATTTGCCAATTCTCTAGACTAATAAATATTCAAAAACCCAAATTAATATACTTTAATATATTCATGATTTTGTGAATTTGTACAGGTAGGAGAACTGCGGAACCCTGAAACTGCAAGAAGAAATGCAGAATGCTTATTAAATGTTATGCAGCTAGTTGAACAGAGTTTAGTGGCATGGCAGAAAAAACCGACAGGAAAAAAAGACAAAACATAAAAATCAAGCAAAGCAGCACCAGAGTCCTTTTTTTAATTGAAAGAAGGTGCTTTTATTCCACAACTCAAATCTCTATTGTGGCAGATTGCACACTTTACTGTTGAACCTGAATAACACATACACACATAAAAGGGAAACCCAGCACTTACACTGGAACCCAACAGATATAGAGAGAAGACAAGGTTTGACAAAGCAGTGATTTATGAGTTATGGAGCTGTTATAAAGAATGTTCTGTGTGGAAGAAAGAAAGCATACAGTCTTATGCAGGAGGATAGAGCAGTTTCAAAAAATAAACCAAAAAGAAATCTCACAAATAAGACCTCAGTAAACTTCTAAAATCAGAACTCTCTTATAATCTATGCATTCCAACGTCAAACTATTTTCATCAACATCTTTTTTTAGGCACATACTGTGTGATTCTTTGTGTATCATAGTCACTATTAACACAACGAAAGTGACAAGTCGAAATGGTATGAGGACAAGAGATTGTAATGGCAGCTGTGATCTGTTCCCAGACTGGTACATTTTTTTAAAAACCATGTCAGCCTGTAGAATCACAACTGCAAAAAACAGCCATATATTGAGTTGCCAAACTCTTTTGCCATATTTAAAACACTTAAAAGAAATACTCTCTGATCCCACAATCATCCTCCCGGTATCCTTCTATCAGCCTCGCATCCACAGTTGGAAGAGCAGGGAATCTGAGTCCATGACTGGGAAGTGAGTTTGTTCTCAGCAGAACAGTTCTGTGCATTGGGGAGGATCGCTCCCTCTGTGCCCCCAACATTGTGGGGTGGACTAGGCTTACTGGTCTTGGACCTGGCTTCCTCTCAGTTACAACTGGACTTTGGCACTGACGATACAGAATGCCTATAAGATGGAAAGAGTGGTGAGAAAGTGGACTGACAGGAAAGTGAGGTGATAAGGGGTATTTTCTCTCTCATACTAAAAGGTGTAAAGGTAGGCGCAGTACGATCTAGGAGCAGATATGGCAGCAAAGGGAGCTGTTTGATTGGCAGGTGCTGGTCCAGAGGAGTGAGATGGGCGAGGTGTTGCAGAAGCATGGAAAGAGATGGAGCAGGGGTGGAAGCCCATAGAGGAAAAAGGCAAAGGTGTCAATGTGGCACTACAGTAGGGCTAGGGTAGACCATGATTTGGTCTTAGCAAGGCTAAATTCCCAGTGGACCTTTGGTAATGGTTGTCTAGACTACACAAAGCTATCATTACCATTCTCTAGGTTCTCACTGCTCTCGTAGCACCCGGAGTCACGTGGGGAGTCTCCCACCAGGCCCTGACCCTCAGACAGCAGTTTCTCTTGGGAGCCCGACAGGCCGCTGCGCTCTGGATCACTGCTGCCTGAAAGTACAAAGACACAGGGAAAATGGCAATATCATACAATTTAGAGTTTGCTTTTCCATTATTTCGAAGTTATTCTTTGGGCATTTTACGCCTTATTAGATAGCGGAAGTGAAGAGACCCCCAAATCCACAGGGGTTCCCCTTCCCGTGATTTAAAATGATTATTCAAATATGACTATATAAAGTATGTACTTTAGTATTTAGGAATGACAAACTGTGTACCGAGGTTTGGAGAAGGTGATTTATTTAAGTACATATGATAGTCTTCAGTATGCGAACACACAGGCGCTGATGGACACAACTATGCCTTAAGTCCCAGGTTCCTGCAAAACCTTTTTCAAGGGAAGCTGAGTAGATTTTGGTGAGAATTCTCAGTGAACACCAGGATCTTAATTCCAGTCTACTTACTGTCGTACTCCTGTAGCAGCTCTACAGCGGTGAGAAGTACGGCTCTGTGCTGAGGATCTCTGATGTTCAGCTCATCCAGGTCCTCCTCTTCCAGCAACTTGAACGTGTCCAGATCCTCGTAGCCGTTGAATAGGAAAGTGGGCATGTGCTCCTGGATAACAGAAAAGTAAGGTCTTAATTTAAAGTTTGTTTTGAGGAGCTAAGAAGGAGTGTGTCTAGACTAAAAAAAAATAAATAAAAAAAAATAGTAAAAGTACATACATAGAGTACATACATAATTTCCCATCCATATTGTTTATTTTTATATACTGGTGAGCAAAATCTAAACTGCTATTTTGATTTTTAAATGGCCAATAGTCACTTTAAGCCTTGGCTAATTCAGTTATCGCTGTCTCAACGGTCAACACTATAGCACAAACTTTGTCATGCATAAAAGTGAGTTAGCACTTCATACAGCTAACTTGCAACATTAGCAAGTTAGCTGTACCGATCAAGTGACAATGTGGAGTGTATGGCCACAGTCCCGAGCTATTATAGCTGTGACCAAAATGGCAAAGAGGACATGAAAGGGAAACCCGGCGCCAACGCAATGTGGGAACAACGAGAACTGAAGGTGGAGACGATTACAGTGCTCTTCAACCCCAGATGACAAAGTTATATGCAGCAACAGCAACAACAAAACCAAAGCATGTCTCCAAAACCACTGCATTATCTAAGAGGGTACAGATATCTATGAAAATCTAGATACGCCCTGCGTGAGTGCACAGTTAGCTGACACTATCATTCAACGCAGCCATAACTGCTTCCACTTTGAATGTTACTTATCCCTACGTTTTGTGTGACCCACACATTTTGTTAGATGAATACACAGACTGTGTGTCACCAGCGAGACCGTCAATTACAATGGTGGAGTCCACAGAGGAGAACAGCGTGTCTCCGTTCTATTTCTGTTGGATGATGCAGGACTAAACAAAGGACCACCAACTAACACAAACACAGGCAGCCGAGACCTCTCACGCTCAGTATCTTTTGTCTTTTTTATTTTGCCAGTCGAAAACCAAACACATTCCAAATCCAAAGATTATTTGGAAAAGAATCCATCGGGCTAAAAAGTTACAGGGATGTGGAGATAAGCACTTTAGGGTTGGCTTGTCAGTATAACCAAACGTTACTTAGCATTTCTAAAAGTACACAACAACAACATTCTCACTCTTTTGATCTATGACAGCTCAATCATAATTCATATAGTAGTTATATAGCTATACATTGCAAAAGACTGAAAGGGAACTGAGAAAAAGAAATATCTTCACTGCAGATAAGAAAAGTGTGCCATGCTTAAGAGGAACTTAAGCATTAAAACTTATGCTTAAAGCTTAATATATAAATTCCTGAAATCCCCCTTGACAAACAAGTAAAATACTGTGTCATCTAGAGCGTTGGTTCTCAAATTGGTTCAATATCTAAGAAATGTAAAGACCACTTATGTCGACACAAGCTGAATAATTTAACTCAAATGCTGTTTGAAAAGAGAATTTAGGTTGAATAGGAAAGCTGGGGTCTACTTTATTTTTACTTTTTCATCATCAGCAGGCCACAAAGTCAAAGAAGAAGTAGTCTGATGACACGTTTAATCTAACTGCAGGAATGTGGTGGTGACTAAGTGGACACGAGCACTCTGATGCACTTGTAACACCCAGACTCTGGGCTGTAACATAAACAATGTACTCTGGATCTTTAACGGCCATTAGGCTGGTCAGAGATAAAACAGCCAACCCACAAAGCATTTCTCTCCGTTTCAGGAGGTGAAGCCTGCTGGCTGCCTGAGAGGGAGGAGATGATATCAAGCTCACAGCTTGTGTAGGTTTCAATGAAAGATGCAAGTTATTTGTTGGGGCGTGGTTGTGAGAATGTGGGTGTTAATGTTTATGCGTCAGTGTCTGATCAAACATCCTAAGCTGTGCAGCCTGTAATTGGCCACACTATATTTATCTCTGCTTGTCTGCAAATGTGTTTTGAAGATATTTGGCTAAAACAATATTTTCATTTACTTCTTAAGCTTTGTTTTCTCCAATTTAGGTGCCAGATGGGTGGGATTTCTCAGGCTGGACAATTCTCTGATTTCTGCAACATTTATATAGACACTATGTGTGTTGACCTGATGCTTTAAATCCATCGAATTTGGTATTCAACGCATGGCAAAACTGTACCAAATCTGGCATGCCTGGTAATCTACCTTGAGGTTGATGCGCTCCAGCAGCTCCTCCACTGATGTGGGTTTTGGTGGTCGACCCTTCCTCCTTCTCCTCACGGGCCTTTTGGGCTTCTCCTCTTCTTCACTCAGCACGTCCACATAGATGAACTTGAAGGTGCCCACTTTGTTGTTCAGCAGGCCCATCCACGTTCCCATGGGTGGCTTACTGATGATGTCAATCACATCGCCACGCTGGAGAATCACAATGACAAGAAATTTGGCATTGTGATTTTTGCATTTATATTTTTAACATTGAAGCTTTAACTGAACTACTAAAAGTAAACTAATTTATTTAATGTAGTGGCTCTTTGGCCAACAGAGGACTTTAGTTGCACTTTGTGGTATAGCAAAAGTCTTTAATAAATCATATTCACAAATTGCGTGCACAAGTGAATATCGGCACAATCATTTCCATGTCCCAGAGTGTGATTTACCTTCAGTTTGAGGGAGTCTGTGTCATAGGGGCTGGGGGTGAAGTCTGTGTGGACTCTGGCTCGGCCACAGAACGGTCCTCTATAAGGCGGCTCTTCATCATCACCATCCTCTGACTTCACACTTTCTCTGTTACTGGCTGATGAGTCAGTGGTGCTCACTGTCTGACCACCTGGAGACACACACACACAGATTTATATAAGCTATAAAAGGACTCTCTGTAAAGCCATCAGGGCATTTAATAAGCACTGATTAACTGGAGGTTTCCTTTATGCTCTACATCAATGCAGTAAATCCTGAATCAAGCTCTCTTCAAAACATCTTCACGGTCACTGTATAATAGCTCGAATTTCACAAGTAGCTTTACAAGGATAGATCTGAAGTCATAGGTACACTATTCAAACACTATATTGATTTTATTTTGTCAACCTCTTTTTTTTCTCCTACATTTTTGTGTCTGCAGTGAGTGGAAAACTTTAACAGGGTCTTAAACAATTCTATTACATATCCTTGGAGTTGCTGCATATTCTTTCTGTATCTGAGGGAAGGATGTTGTCGGCATGTGGGAATCGGAGAAGCAAGACTTCCTACCTAATCATTACCGTATGCTTGCCTGTCTGCCTGTGTGTTTGTGTACATGTTTTATGGCTTCAAATTGCTGTAAGATGGCCAAGTCCTCAGTTCGCCCTGAGCTTGAAATAATGGAGGGTATTTTATCCACGGAAACAACAGGCTGAAGCAATCAGAAGTTATAATTAGATAAGAGGACCTGAGATGTCAAAACACACTTAAAAACTCTGAGATCACAATACATGAGGCAGCTGGTGGGACCGAGTGTGATCAAGAGAGAGAATTGCTCATCATGGCCATCGCTCCAAAAAAAGTCATGTGTGCATTTAAAAAACAGCAAGCAACAAATCTTACGAGCACCATCTAGTGTTAGAGTCCACTAACAGCCAAAGTGTACAATAACACCAAGAGATAGTGGTTTGAAATAATAGAGGACTTGGAATAGTTGATTTCACAGATGCTAAATTGTGTTTTGTGGAAGCAACAAACAATCTTAATTTTTCTTTTCCTTTTATTCAAGATGTCAAAAAAACAACCTAAAAACCATTTTAAAATATCATAATGTCATAAAAGCAGGCACGCTTTTTCTAAAATAATGGTTCTTGTCTTACTCATTGAGCTCTGTCCGCTGAGTGAACTACGCAGACTTTCCACCGAGCCTCCGGCCTTAAGTTTCGGCTTCTCCAGAGAGTCGGTGTCAGGCTGAGGGGACTGAGGGGAGCCAGGGGCTCCATCTGGACTGGACTAAAAGACAGAAAGAGAGGGGGCGATGCACATGGATAATGAAAGAACAAAGCAAATGTTGTGCAGTTAAGAGATGATAGTATGTGAGAGATGGAAAAGTGTGGTTAAGAGGTTGACATATGGGGGAAACCATAGAAACAAAGAAAATATGAAGATCAGAGGTGGAGATGGTGGAAAAAAGAAAGGGGAAGGGGGGGGGAGTGACAGTGTGGTTGTCAGTATTTTTTTCTCTATGTTTATTGGAAAACAATGTTATTAATTGTGAAAAACATATACATTCTGGAATATTTTTTTAGGAAACATCTTCACTGATATTTTCACTTGAACTTCCATCAGCAGTACATCTTAAGGGAACTCAAGCTGCAGTAGTATGGGCAAATAAAATGTCCGACAATTAATGACACTTATAACTTATGCTAAACAATCTGTTTACAGATTTTTAAATCAACTTATGAAAGCAATGATATCATTTAAGTGCACCTTAAAAAAGTGCATGCTTTACTGCCGTTTCAAGTATCTTCAACCAAGTGCAGTTGCCTTGATTTTAACCTTCCTTGGATAACTATGGATGACTGATTTTTTTAAATGTTGCATCTTACTGTCTATAAGTGTATATACCATTTATGGTTTTTACCCTTAATTGGCATCTACATGCTTGCCCCAAACAATGTTTTAGTGTACTTGTACTGTGTCAATAAGATCTCTCTCCATCCCTCTATCCACCTACCTACCAATTGATTATTTTGCATAAATTAGTACTAACTGGATCAAAATACTTTTGTTTAAACTTTAAATGTAATCTTTACAGGTCTCCTTATAAATTAAACTAGTCTCTAGTAATAAAGCAGCAATGTCCATCAACATGCAACATCGACATACAGCATACTGTACTGTGTTTTATTTGTTTCAGTTATCCACTAGGTGGCACTGTGGTCTATATCCCAATGGCTCCATGACTCATGCCAGATTATGTGGGTCACAGTGTTGATACCTCCATGAAGAACAGATGTTGCATTAATGACTGTGTGTGCATTAATGACATATTCCAAGGGACAACATCAAACTGTAGGGCTGGCCAGGCCACTGGTAAAGCCACTGGATGCACAGAAAAATTAGGCCAGTAGATGAGTCTTTATACACTTTCACACTTCCCCAAGAGCCAGCCTCGGGGAGACTTGCATCACTCCATGAGCTCAGCATGAAGCACAAGCACTCCACCCTACACACTGGACCCAGGAAGAGCACAGCAGTGAGAAATCAAAATGCGTGTGTGTGTGTGTGTGTGTGTGTGTGTGTGTGTGTGTGTGTGTGTGTGTGTGTGTGTGTGTGTGTGTGTGTGTGTGTGTGTGTGTGTTTTAGTGCTCTTTGTTTATTCTGTAACTAACACAAATACTCCTGCCCACTCACCGCCTGTGGACAGAATGTGACTTACACCACAAAACATCCTCTAAATGTTTGCAGAACATGTTATTTATGTATTTATTTTTTTCTTTACAGCAGTGCTTGCTTTACTGTTTTGAAGTACTGTTTTAAAGATGAAAAGCATAATGTGTGCATGTGTGGAACCGTTTAAGGGTTATCTGCTCCACTTCAAATAAAGTTAAGGCTTGACTATGTTTACACATGCCTCATTTGCCTTAAAAACAAGGGACACCTTCATGATGTTCAATGTTATCTGAACTTTTCACAAGCATTCAAAAGTGCATCCATGTGTGAGTGTGTGGGTGTCTAACCTGCTCAGATAAGGAGCTGCTGTACTTCTTCGACATGCGTTTCCTCATTGTCTCTTTGACTGACTTGACCTTCTTGCCCAGTGAGATCCGAGATGTAGTGGGGGATTTGACCACTTCTCTGTATATAGCCTCCTGTTCTTTACTCTGATAAGAAGAAGGAAAGTGAGACAGGAAAAGGGTGGACAGAGAGGAAGGAGATGACAGAAGTGAAAGACAGAGTTGAGGAGAGATTTAGGAAAAGAGGACAAAGGGCAAGGAGAGAAAAGGTGATTTAGTGTGACAGGAAGAGTTCGGCTTGTGCGCCTCACAGCCTCGTCTAATTTTACAAGCCGCCAGCACTTACATTGGCATCCGAGCCTGTGTTGACCACATGGAGCGAACGGTTGGACAGGTCAAAACCTCCGAAGCTGCACGTTCTCTGTCGGGGAAGCCAAAACACAATCAAATAAGCCACTTTCAGAAGGTCACATTACAGAAACTCCCCATCCACACCCACTGAGGGTCAACTCACAGTGATTCATGCTTGGCACGACACAGGCAGCAGTTTGATTAATGTACATGGGTATATGGTTTGGTACATATGCAGGGGCATGATGTCATATGGGACTGTGGACAGCCAACAGACATGATGTAACACATTCTGTTATATGAGCTCCTCTTTAAAATTGCAAGTTACTACATAGTCTTAGGCAAATGAGCTGTTATATTGTCCTGTGGAGAGCACGAAACAAGTTGCTCATATGCTTTATAACTTGAATCCCTGGAGAAAAATATTGGATAAAATTAAACCTTTTTTTATGTGGTCAAGCTAAAATATATAACTGTACTGTTACAAGTGAATGTATATTCATTGTATTTCAGATGCAAAACATATTGTGATTAATTATGAGAAATGCAAAACTGGGCTTTGTATGTAAACATGCACAACACATAGGTTGGTTGCTTAGAGCCGACAATGTTATTCTCATCAGAAACATTTTTAGAGAGACTAAATTGTTTCTGCTGAGAGGACAGGGTGATATGGAGATTTTCTTGACTTTTAGAGGTCAACATAAAGATAAGAGGTAGACACCAAAGGGGAACTATGACACGAGAAGAATAGATCCAGGATCTCATCACTGAACTGGCTTTGACTTTTCCCTAAGCTCTGCAGTAGGTCACACACAAACATGTAGACAAAGACATTTACATATGCATGCGCCCAAAAAGACTCAGTTCAAATAGGGCACTTGATGGCATTTCTCCTTCGAAAGCCATTACTTCTAATGTACTTGACTAAACTCCCACAAACCCTGGACGAAGGTCCTCGATGTGAGAAGGCTTTGCACATTAAGAAAATAGTTTTTATATTAGGTGTCCACAGCTGCAGTCCACATCACAATTTCCCAGGAAAAGCACAGTTTGGAGAACAAACATGTTTGAAGAGATGTCCCAAAAGAACTCTGAATGTCATGGCGATGCTCGATGGAATGGACATGCACCCAGAAAAATAAATTCTCTCAAAGATAATTATAGGAACGAAAAAAAACTAAAGAAAAAAAATCATATCTGCAACCATAGAGGCACGGGCCAAAAAAGAACACGAAAAGCAACAACAGAAAAAAGTGGATTCAACGAGTTTTTGGATGAGAACGACCTCCAGTGATTTCACTAGAACACGATAGGATTCAGGTACCCTCAAAGCTGCAGGATAGCTCCTCTATATCACCACCTGGAGTATGTGCCATTACCTCTGTTGATATACATGGGCTAGGGGAAAAAGTAAGTTACTGGCGATGCAACCAGCCTGTTTTCATATGTTATAAACTTGCATTTTACATTCACTGTGGTATGAATTGGTTTGCCTGTTTTTCTGTTGCTATATTCAGCCTTACAAGATCAATTTGAAAGTTGATTAGCATAAAGACCATTCAGTCACTTAAGTTGACATAATAAGGCCATTCATTTAATATGTCTCTAAGGCTGCGCTGTGCGGTTCTAAGGATGAGCAGCCTCAAGCTTGTACAACATCTCTTTTGCCCACAGGGATTAGTGTGACTGTGTAAGTGTGCATGTCCTTCAGGGATATGACATTTATAAAAAGGCACTTATAAAAGCTCTGCTGTAACTTAACCTCCCAAGTGGGCCATGGCACATTCCATAGTCATTTCGTATTCAGCTGAAATAAAAAACAAAAAAAAAAGATTTAAAGCCAAAGGCATTCACTTAAAGGTGAGGATGACATTCCTCAAAGGGCAATTAGGTCTGTGATAGACATACCAGCGCCTAGCCTTTTTTTATACATGTGCACAGCTGCAATACATTGATGTGGATTTCTTACACAGACAATATTAATGGATAAGTTGAGGTAATTTGACCTGGCATGTGTCTTGTGCATCTTTACTGTACTTCACCTACAACCTTTGAGCTATTCTGCAACTTTGAAGCACCGAGTCCTGCTCACACGAGGCGGTCGACTTAAACCTCATGGTCCAAACTCACAGACTTCTGCTGGATGCGCAAGAGCACACGCTTGGTGCAGCGGTCCACACTAGCCGCCCACTTCCTGTCTGCCTCGCGGTCCTCCTCCAATAGACAGCGGCGCTCAGCGCGGCTGAGGGTAACTGGGCGGACCAGCTGGGCCCAGTTGAGGTGACCATACAGGCTCCGTTCTACCACATAGGTGATGTTCAGTTCACTGACCGCTGTTCGACCACGCAGCCTGCGGGAGGGGAACACCCAGCCCCCTCCCCCACTTCCAAAACCTTTTGATTTGGCTACATCACAGCGGGCAGGGGAGGAGGGGGTGAGAGACAGAGGGGAGACAGGGGTCTTGGTGTTGCGCGAGCGTTGATACAGTAGGTGTTTAGTGGAGTAAGCGTAGTTAGGGTCAGGTTTCCGATGTGTCCAGCTACCATGGTGCCGGTTGGCAGGTTGGTGTTTGGGGCTGCCTTGTGGACTGTCATCCAGGGATATCAGGAGGCGGGACTGGGCAGGGGGTTTGGGGCGAGGTTTGGTGAGTCCATAGTATGCGTAGAGAGCCTCATTGTTACTTACCCCATGGGAGATTGAGCTCAAGGCCTTCCGCATCTCGCCGTCAGTCGTCGAGCGTGACAGCTTTCCTTCGTCGTCCAATCCACAGCCATCCAGTTCTGAGAAGGATGAGCCACTCCCTCCCACACCAGAGACAGAGCCCCCGGAGCCAACTGGGGTTCTCTTGGGGGGCCGGATGAGACCGTGGGTACTGGAAGATTTACTGAAGGTTTTGACCAGCTTGTGTCCAGACCAGGTGTCCAGGCTGCTTGAGGAAGGGGAGTTGGTCAGACTGTCTGTGTCCCCATCCTGAGATTGTTGATCCTGGGTGAGGGAGGGCAGAGAGATCTCCTGGGGCAAAGGGGGCTTCTTTAGAACCCCTGTATAGAGAGCTGTGTTGTCCTCACAGGTCGGCGGTGCCTCCAGATTCAGAAAATCTAATGAAGAAGTTGACGACGACAGAAACATTAAGTTATTCAGGAGGATCAGATTCTGTGTAGTCCCATGACCCATCTGTGGTTTACCAAACCACAGCTAGCCAGCACACATTTCAAAACACATTCTTAAAGTCTGAGTATTAGGCAAAACCCATGACAGACGAGAATATCAAAACATAAAAAAAAAAAGAGAGATTCCTACTTTTTAACACGAGTCACTAATTTCCAACAACTAAACCTAAAGTTTTTGAACTTTAACTTCATTTTAGTAAGGACAAACAGCTTGATATAGTGCTCAATACAGATTTTCAACTGCAAGCAGATTTTAAATTTCTATACAGTTAAAGTCTGATGCCTCGAACAGAGACCTTAAATCAAAGGAACTCAGGTATAACAGACCTTCAGAGCCGTGTTTCTTGCCCTCCTCCACCTTGATGAGTTTTTTCCTGACCCGGCGTGTAGAGTTAACCAGCTTGTGAAGCCGTTTGAACTTCACAGAGTCCTCCGATTGCTCATCGTCTGACTGTTCACGGGACTGGTGGGAAAGAGAGAACGAGGGAGGGATGATATGATAAAAAGGGACACGCAGCAAACACTTTTCAGTTAAATAAACCTTTTTAAAAAAAACATATGTAAAAACAGGAAGAACTTCTTCAGCGTAACATTTCATTAATCCAAGTATAACAGAAATGTATGGCTTTGTTTTGAATTTATTTCATATGAAACAAAAGTAGTGAGAAAATCAAACAAACTTTGACATATATATTTGGAGATTCTGAAAACGCTGTTATAATGCGATGGATGGGAGCATCGTTTAGGATGGAGTCAAAGTTAGTGAGGTGAGAAATGAAGGATGGGGGGGGGGGGGGCACACAGCATTATGTGAAGTTCATATTCATAATAAACACAGAAAAAAATGCACTGAAACAATGAACCAGATGAAACAATTATTTGAACAAATTAACTGAATGAATCAGTATTACAATACATGGTCTATTTGGCATTATTTTGTCTTAAGAGGCTGTTTACTGCAGAGGAAATGGAAGGACAATGGTCGTATATCATGGGTGTCAGCATCCTAGTTTTTCTCTCTACAGATGGCCACTGCATTTAAACTCTCTGTACAGTGTAGCAGAGTGGAAAAGAGACCGAATAATGAAATTTACAGTTTCAACTTTCAAACACAACACAACACACACACACACACACACACACACACACACACACACGTGTGTTTTCTCGCTATGTCTTCCATGTGACTGTGATTGGCGGTAATGATGATGCTGATGGGCCAAGCTCTGGCCTAAAGATTGTCTGGCAGGAACTACCATCATTATCATGGAGTTTAAACAACTTAATTTGTTTCTATTTGCCACTGGTTTCCACAGCAACACTAACTCTCTGGTCACACACTGCCAGTTCCATGGTCGAGGTTGACTGCATCACTTGGAAAGGGACACACATGCATGCACAAACGCCCACATACACCACAACTAGACAGAGCAGGCCTGGCAGGGCTCAGCTCTCTGTCTGATAGAAAGCAGTCTTCTCCTCCAGCTCTGAAGCTAACAAGGAAGAACCTGCTTTCTCGCTGTTGTTGGGATTAGACCACGGGCCTGGCTCAGAGGCTGCTGACATTCGTTCGGGATGATGTTAACAACTGTGGCTTGGTTGGATCAAACTGATCTGACACTGTCCGCAAATCCTTGATGGCAACAAACCACCTTAACAACATCGTGATCTTTTCATTCCTGGAAGCGTATGAAAACCTTACGAATCATTGGCAAGCTGGAAAAAAAAACTTCACGCAGGTCCATTCTATCAAACTTCACCACTTTTAGAGGTACGTGATCAAGTTTTAGGTCCTCTGTCAGCCCAGCAGAGCAGAGCTAGGGTATAGCCATTCATTCGGCCTCTTACAAATTGGAGAAATAGGCTCTGAAAACCCGTAACTCTGCTGTCCCTCAGCCGAACCACACAATTTTGGCTACAGCGGTGACTCCTTCAACTTTCCATTTGCTCTTGGCAATGCTTGAGTGCATTAGCTTCAGAAAATGTAATGTAATAACAAGTCTGTGTCAGAGAGGATTGATGAAAGTGGCAGTAGAAATACTATGAGATGAGTGAGACCACCATAGGTTGGGATGGGAGCCCACTCCTGTATCTGATCTAATCTGTTCTTCTCCTAGTGTAAAAGATGGAGAAAAGGAATAAGAGATAGTAAAGAGGTGACAATGACATAATTGTCCAAACCCAGTTGTGAGGAACCCGATCCATACAAATGACCAGATTAACAGGGGAAAAGATACACACACAGAAAGAAAGCCAAACAAAAGAGGGGTAATGAATCAAGCAGAGCTGAAAGGCTGCCATCGAAAACAAGGTCAAAGCATCAATTCCACGGCCATAATTGCCATTTCACTTCACAAATTACTTTGAGGTTTGTTCCCATAACTTTGGAGACTCAGTTAAACTTAGAAAACTACAAACCAACATCCTCATGGTGCACACCAAAAGCTTTCGTTTTGTACCACAAAAACAGAAAAAGACAATCTTAAAAGAAACAATCTAATTTAAAACAGTTAAGAGCACCAGCGTGCCTTGAAACTTACCAACCTATTTAAAACAGCAGGGTACCGCTTTCTGTGTTAACATCCAACAGTTTAGCAAGAGTGGGTCCCACAAATCCATAGTTGCGCCGACCACATTCTTAAGCAAGTACGATTCAAAATAATATCAGCGCCCCTGTGCACATGCTGGCAGATACAGATGCAGTCGGCTGGTAAATTCAGCTCTGAGGAATGAGGGACCATTTGGAAGTGCTGTGTCGCACATCTAGCAGAGAAAAGGAGTGTTGTGCATGGAGAACAATCCCAGCATTTGAGCCCCTCTGACCCTGCCTTGGCCCCCACAACGCTAATGGCCAGCCCTGGAATGTGGCCTCCGATCGCCGGGGGAAGACAGACCGGAGAAAGACAGCATCAGAGAAATGCACAGAGCAGCCAAAGATTATATATTGCAAACATGTCAGCTACAAGCATGCACTGTATATTCACGTCTGTATTTAGAATACAGTAATACACAGAGACATGCAAAACTTTTTGAATTTGGGAATGACCTAATTCCATTCATTAGAGGGGAGAGGGGGCAGTTTATGACACCAATAGAGGTCCCAGCGGAGTAGCAGTATTTCCTGAAGTAGCCAATTTTGGAACCCGGGGCACGGGGAGATCCCCCCTCCCCCATTTCAGAGGGCCTGGTGGTAAATACAACCTCTATCTCCTCTATTTTTCTCTCCCTTGTTTCCTCTCTGACTCCAGCTCTTGCATTTGTTCACAGCCTCCAGAGCCAAGTTGTGTGTTCCTCTGAACAATACTCCTTCAGTAACTCTCCTATCCTGTCCCCTGTCTGTGAAAACCCCAAACTGATCAATCTTCTTCCCACGGGAAGTGAGAATCTGGCAGCAGGGGGGTAGCATGAGGGTTGACATTACTGACAAGTTACAGATAAGATGATTGGCAAACTCAGGCATAATTCACAGACCCACATCAGACAACCAGCCAGCAGACAAAACTTGAGCTGAGGTTATGTATGGCATAATTAACCTATTTTTCATACGATAGGGAAATAATCAATCATTACACAGAAGAAGAATTGAATAGGGACCATTGACGACGTGAGGAAACTATTTTGCATGAGTCCTTATTCATGGTTTTGTTACAGTAACAAACAGAGTTTATGAACGCAAGCCATAAATAACTGACATTGAAGAGTAACCGGGGGAGCTATTAACGTATGAAAGTCAAGCACACCAAAACATATTCAACCACTTAAAAGAAAATGTGATTTTGAAATAAAGGAACTCAAGCTAGGATTCAAATCTAAAACAGTATGAAGGCTGTAGGGTCAACTTTTCATTTACTTTAACAATAACCACATGAAAAGCAGATCCATTTAGGTGCATAAAGTGGATAAGAATGAATGAAAGAGATTTGATGATTGATTTTTCAAACCGTCATGGCTGTTTACTTGGGAATTAGTAGCACATTTTGAAATAGCAATACTACACACGTGCGAGTATGTGGAATTTTTGTGTTTGGATAAACTCATTTCCCTGGAAAAATGTGGGTCACTGTGTGAGACTTTATGACTGCATGCTATTCCCATATGATGCCATAGAGTGCAAAACTAATGAAAATCCGCCACAACCACTATGTGTCCTGAATCTGCAATAAACCTACATTTAAAAAAGGAAAAACACATCAACATATGCGCGCGCGCACACACCAGAAAGATCTGACTGATTGTCATCAAAACACCAAACATGCATCCAACAGAACCAGATTGTCTGCTCCAGCTGTCCAGCTCCACAACACTTTTCAAAACATAGAATCCCTCAAAGGTCTCAAAGTTTCAAGGCCTTCTTTCCATGGATCACAGCTGACTAAATAACTGCCAACAAAAGCTCACGACACAAGGGGTTTTGGGTAGATTTTGTGTGACTCTCCACTTGGCTTTCCGCAAGTTACAATTACAACTGATTGATGGAAACAGACCTGACCTAAATTTCCATAAGACAATTTCCTTGTCACTACAGCAGCCAATTTTGACCTTGTTGAGGACATATTTCAAATGAGATGCCTATGACAGGATTAACCTGATGAATAAAAGATGGAAGAGGACACGCAACACATGCATATATCTCATTGGGACTGCCAATTCTTGAGTGCAGCCTCAGAAAATGGGTAAACAGTGGGTCAAGATTCACAGAGGTAACACCCATAGTATTAAGATGCACGTGACATGGTGGAGAGAATATATGTGCAAAGGCAGATATATTGTAGTTTGGCCATGAATGAAGAGCAGAGAGAGAAGGGGAGATTAAAGTGAGAGGAAGGTAAGATAAAAGTTGACTGAAGATGGTTTATGCAATGGCATTTAAAACTGTCAAAAAAATGTAAATATTTCAAACATATTTAAAAGGGAGGTCTATAGGCACTTTGTATCTCAAAGCTAGACATCAAGCAAGGAAAACTAGTTGAGTTTCCCGGTATATTAAATCTGAATAAACACACACATCGATGCACACATAAAGTATGTCAAAACAACAATGGTCGTTCAACCTCGTTGGCTGAAACATCAAACTTAAAAAGGTGAGAGTGGTCGAGGTCAGAGGCCCCATCCACACTACTACGTTTTAGCTAGTGGCCGTTCAGGTACGCTGGGCATGCGCCTGCCGATGTAAACATGAAGCAGATGGTAATTCCATAGTTACAGAAGATTTGGCGAAAGAATAAATAAATACAGAAGAAGAATCAGACCAGTTTTTTTTTTTGCATGCACCAATAACGAGCTGGGACTGTTACTGAATGTAACACGGGAGTGTGGCAGCAGAAAACAGACTGGGAGTTGTCGCAAAGGAAACGGCGACATGCACAGTACAAGTGTAGGCAGATAAGTGTTATTTGCAAGGTACAGAATATTTTAATAAAAATACCATGTCAAAAATCCGGTCAGTAGCATAGTGTTTCTGCTTTGCATGACTAAGACCCAATCAGAGAGCCGAGCGTGAGCGGCTGCGTCATCGTTTCTAAAGTCCTCCGTTTTGGCCCGTCTTCACTAAAACGCCCTCCGGTTTTCACCGTTGTAGTCTGAACGGGAGGTGCAAACGTATCAAAAGGTCTCCGTTTTAATTCAAAAACGCAGTAGTGTGGATGGGGCCAGAGTGTTAAGAGAGACAGGGTCAAGGGGAGAGTTCAGGGATTTCGGGGTGTCGGGGTAATGGGGTGGGGTGTACTTACGTTGCAGTTTGAGGACTGGTTTAGATTGGTCGCAGTTCTGTCAGTCCACTCTGCAGTGTCAGTACTGCTGGACTGCCTGCTGCGCTCATACTCCTTCAGCTACGTGGAGAAGAAGAGTTTAGAGAGGCAGAGGAACAGGGCGGGGTCACCCACTCTCACCGAGCATGCTACATCTCTCCATATAGGCTACTAACAGACGGTCGATGGACGTCAATTGCGCACATTCACAGGACATTTATACAGACAGGCACACAGACAAAACAGGAGGACTCAACCAGCGATGTAGTGGTTAATAAAAGGTTCGTATTGTAACCTGAGTTTGATGATCTTTGTGCAAATAACCTCTAAATTAAAGTGTGTTAAGTTTTATGCAACAAATTAATTATTTGAAAATGAAAATAGTTCTATACCACTGAGACTTGCCTTCTTTTGTGTGCATGTTATGATTTATTGTCATGAAGATTTCTTCACCTTTCATTAATCTTAAACACACAAAAAAGGAGACCGAAAGGGAGATTGAATTTAATTATGTTTATATTCCACTACATCCCTGGCCACATACTACATAGCACGCTACTGACTATAATAAAAACCAATATGATTATACTGGTCAGTGGTACACAGAACCATAGACTGTATATAAAAACAGAACACACTATTTAAACACACACAAGCACAACAAGATGTCAGATCAACTATCCACAGAGGCTGATCATTGAGGGTCAATCACTAGAGCGAGAAGATGGGATCAAGCTACTGGCCAAAAGAAAATCAAAGTTCTGTGAAAAAAAAGGGTAAGAAGATAATTAACATCTGCCTTGTGGAGAGCAAATCCAGTGCTCAAATGCTGCTGGACAGTCATGCTACCCACGAGCAAGGCATTACAGAAGGCGACTGAAAGGAAGGAAGGAGGAGATGAAGTAGGCAAATACAAAAAGAAAGAACAACCACCAGAAGTTGATCAAGTGCATTAAAAGGAAAACCATGTAATTTTCCACCATGTCCTCCTAGAGAGAAAACCCACAATGCACCAGAACATCCCCCCCAACAGATGGGGCTGTTGAGTTACTATGACCATCAATCCTGCAATTATAAACTGAGCAAGACACCCACACACACTCCAAGAGCTCACACCCTAAAACCCCCAGACTCCTGACCCTCTGGAAACACCGATTGTCAGGAGTTTGTGTCGGTGTGTGAGAGTGAGTGTGGATGTGTATGTGTGCGAGTGTGTGTGGGTGACAGAGAGCGAGAGAGACAGTTTGTGTGTGAATGTGTGAGCGAGTGTGTACGTGTGTGGTGTAGAGGACAATACAGGGTTAAAATGCGGGGCCTTGTACAGGTTAGTAAGAGTGAGTCGTTTTAGTAAGCCAGAGCTATGGTGGGAATATGGAGGACAATATTGGGGAGGGGGGAGTGGAAACTAATAAAGGGGGAGGGGTCAGGGGATCTGGGGAGGCTACAGTCACAAAGGAAGGTCGAGTGAGGGTGGGGGAGGATGGTGCAACAGGTAAGGCAGAAAGTCATTGGAGCTTCCTACCCGAGCTAGAGCTTCTTCAACGGTGATCATCTTCTCTTTCACCATCATCATTAGTTGAATTCGCTCTTCGTCACTCATGGTGATCTCACTGGCCACATAGCCTATGTCTTCTCCTGAAGGGTTTGAAGGGAAAAGATCAAAAATGGAGCAACATCTATTCAGTATGTGAAACATCTGAAACATTAAGCCACACAAACCTTTGGATGTCTGACGCACTACTGGTTTGTGCTGAGACTTGCGGAAGTTCTGCCAAAAAGATTTGTTCTTCTTCTTGTTGTCCCATTTACCTAAAGGCAGCGCAGGATCAGTCATGTAGGAAGAAACATTCACCTTATACACAACTACCAACATTCCAATTATGTTGTGTGGTTTCTGGCCACAGGAAAGAAAACACACTTTTAAGTGGATCCTTTGCTCAGCAAGCTCAACTGACCATTTACATACATGTACATATTTGCAAGGGTATAGACAATTCCTCCATGTGGTGCAACAATTAAGTATGACCCTAGCTCACAAATCTCTATATGGCTATTCCTGTCAATTTCAGATATAAAGCTTAATCTTATAGGAAACATATTAAGACAGCAAAAGAGATAAATGAAAATGCATCTAAACATACCTCCAGATCCATCTTCAGAGCTAGATTTGTGCAAGGGCATTCTGGGGGGGAGGGGGGGAGTAAAGAAAGACAGAATCAGCATACAGGAAAGATCTTCCTATATAAAAAAGATCTTCCTACTCTAGTCTCAACCACCAGTGCTTAAACTATGTTTATGACTGTTAATTTTTGGCAAGGAGGGCTGCAGTTCTGCTGTTCACCACTTGGGGTCAGTGGTGGTGTTTAAGTGACAGCAAACCAGGCTCCTGAGGCTTAAGAGGGAGAGGAGGAGAGGACGTAAACAATGACATCCCTCTTGCAAAAACAAGAGGGTAAGATGAAGATGGTGGTACTACAAAGTGTTTAAGAAGCAGCAAAGGAAGGAGGAAGGTCAACAAGATAAAGAAAAAGAGGGCAGCCACATGAAAGTGAGGAGGGAAAGTATGGAATCGAGAGGGGGGGGGGGTGAGAAGAAACCAAAGGGCAGACTCAGCCTGTTTGTGTTTCCACTTCCCTCCACAGGACAGACAGTCACGAGGAAGACAGAAGGAAGAGTGGGAGAAGAGGGAGAGAGGGCATAAGAGAGGGAGACATGGAAAATAACTGAGTCCTGACATGTCTGTAAAACTTCTTAAATAATCAGACCTAACAAGGATAAAATAACAACTTGAAGGTTCCTTATGACAGATAAACTGCTCTCAGCGTCCAATCAAAATGTCATGTATGCGTGGCCTCACATATTTTTCTAGCAAGCTCTGTGGCATGTTTGGCAGTGGCTGACTGTCTGCTGAAAACTTGACAGAAGGGAGAGACTTTGTTTTTGATGACATCCTACAGGTGTATTTATTTGGGAGCGGGTGGGTGATAGTGATTTGCGGTGGCCGCACACTGTGAGCGTACGCTTAAGACCCTCAAAGACCTATTATGTAAATTGTCCTCTCTTGCGATTTTACTTGAACACTGTCACACATCCACACACCTTAAATGATTGGAGCACAATGCACATGGGCATAGAGCTGCTGGGCCGTGCAGGTGCCGGAGAAGCAATGCGAAAGTGTGTGACAGGATCAAAACATGATAAACAGGTCACTTCCCTCTCCAGTGGCTGTGCGTGTGTGTGTGCATGTGTGTTCACATGTTTGTTCAGACATTAGCCCTCTCTTGGTGCAATGGGAAATCTTCACACGGCTTAAAGCCCTGCTGCCATGGCAACATAATGAGATGCTAATTGAATGGAGGCCTGTTCATCCCCCTCTCAGATAGGCTAGGGCCAAAGCTAATGCTAATAGAACTCACTCAATGGAAGCTTTTCTGTGGTAGTGCCCCCCCCCCCATGCTCTATAAATTAACCTCGCATGCAGCGCACACATACATGTACTCACACACAGCCGCGTGGTCTCACACTTTAAAAAAGCCTGAATGTCATTCAAAGTCTGTGTCAGTCCAGGCATTATGTGGCTAGGCAACTTAATTGGTTTAACCTTAAATCTTTGGCATGCCTGTCTATTTCAATTCTGTTCTTTGCATTGAGTAGGGGACATTTAACTGCTACTTTTTTAAAATCTCATTACCATAAGAAGCCAGTGATATTAAGTATAGCATTATAACTTTGGCTGAACCTATGCAGGATAGGTGAAAGTTTCTTTGCATGATACAGTCGCATTGTGAAAATGTTACAAGTGCTACGAACATGTGCTGATGACCCCGAAGCTATGAGTGAAATGCCAATTTACTCAGTGAAATGGTAGGACTGACAGCACTTTCTCTGGCTTGGATCTAACATATTAATTAATTAATTAAATCATTTAACGGTAGAAAATATGTGGTAAATGCACATTTAGTGCATAAGGCATATAGGCTATTTACACAGACAAACGTAAAAGATAAGATACAAGAGAAAAAGGCCAGCGGCACGTCAACATCAAAAAAAAAAAAGGATGACTGAATAAGTGATTTTTGCGTAGGCAGTACAGTTATACAGTATGAATCATTGGTCTAGCATAACTACTAATCTGTGTGACACAGTCCAGGAAAGATGATAAACCAGTAGCAAGATTTGGAAAAACAGCTGTGCATCAGTTTCTACTGCACTCAGCATAAATCACAGCATTGCACACATGCATGTGTGTATGGTGACTGTGTGTTTTTGTGTGACAACAGGGCTGGCCACCTGGAGCAAAGTGATCACCGGTTTTCTAGTAGAGACAATGAAAGGCAGCGACCCTGTGTGACAGTGGCAGTGTTCACAGGAAGAGCAGAGGGATGACCTCTTCAGGGATCATGGAAGAGGTCAGAGGTCACATGGAGGGGGGAAGACGGAAGATCATAAGGTGGTAAAACAGAAAATCATACAGAAAATAAAACACATGTTTGCGATTGTGCATGTATTTTCCTGCCATACACACACTGCTTTACTTTCAGAAGCAAATAACAGTTCCACGACGGCGGCAACACTCAACCACAAGTCGTAAATATGCTGACAAGGTACTTTTTCGTTTTCCAACATGGTACTGTTGTTCTAAACATATTATTCACATGGAACGGCTTACATTTCCATCTGATTATTAGTTGCATAAGCCGGGCTTCCAGCAGTGCACATGCCTCTAATTTTACAATTTAACAAGCCTTTTTAGAGCCAACAATCAACTGTATTTGTGTCTTTGCACATGTATGCTTTCATCAAGATCCATTTGCCTCTGCTGTTAACCTTACTGATTTGTTTGTTGCCCCCTCTCTGCAACAATAATCCCCCAATCAATCACTTTTCAAAACAGGAAGTCCCCAGTTTGAACCCTCCAGCTTTCTGAGACCGCTCTGTCATCACCACTTGCACATGCACAGACAGAGAGGTGGCACAGCCCAAGATGAAGTCTGGGTAATCTCCTCTGGGTGCTATTGTCCTGCGACGAGGCGATGATGGGGGTATCCATGTCTGTGCATGTGAACGTGCATGAGTGCCTCTTGTAAGGCTGCGAGGAATGGAGGCAGCTTGTCTATCATTCCTGCCAACACATAATAAATCACTACACCTGAAACCCATTCACAACAGTGGAAAGTGGACAATAGGCAATGTAATAGAGAACAGAACTGGGGGGAATGAGAGGAGAGAGGCTGGCAGTGAAGGATGGATTACAAAAAATACAGGCCATTTTGTCCTCAAGCATAAAAACGAAATTAAATAGATAAAGTTGATAAAGATTTTCATATTTAACTTTCACACCAGAAATTGAGTTTAGGGCTTTGAAAGAAAGACACTAGACAGAGAGAAGAATGGAAATGACAGAGGTGAAGAGAAGGGTGAATGCGGAGCAGTTTCATTAGAGACCAACTACAGACTTAAGGTGAGACAAAGTCTGAATGTTTATGAGAGAGGGAATGTGAGAGAAAGCATGTGAGGCATGGAAGACAGAAAGAAACCAGACCGACAGGACGAGGAGAGAGAGAATAGCACAGTTAGGGGATCTTTCTGGGACTCTTTCGGACAGCAGAGAGACATCATTCGAAATTTGGCATCTGGTTCCCATCATCTTGCGTATTTGTCTGTGCTACATATACAGCCATGGGAGAAGAGATCATGTCCGTGGTATGTGCTTCCTCTGCCGCACATGATCTTCCCGTGAACGTGACAATTCCACTGGGGGTCACACAGGGGTGTTCAGGAACAAACACAAAAAAAAAAAAAGGGAAATATGGGAAATAACTATTCGCACTATAGTCACACTAAGATTTATTTAACCTTTGGCCCTGGCGTACATGCCGTACATTAAGCGGGGCTCCCAATTCACTTTTCTATACTAATCTATCCAGACTCTTGTGTCCACTAAATGTCTTCTTTAAATGCCTATAAAAAGGCACCAAATGTGTGTGACTGTAGTGAATTTGTTGCAGCTTGACAACATTTAGAGAGCTGTTTTGCCGACCAACGTGGATTGTTTTAAATGTTACAACAGTGATCTCATGGTAGGCCATGGAGGAGAACACACACACACACACACACACACACACACACACACACTCTTTGGGTTACAGGAACCAGTGAAAAGGAACCCCACCCGTGCCCAGTTCCATCCTGCTCTTTCGTTCATGCTCCTTTGCGGTAATCATTTAGCCATCACCCGCTCTCCACCGCTGGACACAAAGGCAGGAAGGAAGCATGGACGGCCGGGGAACAGAGAATGGCTGCCGGACTGAGCAGGTCAGCCGAAGGAAGCAGTCAGGGGTTTTCCTTTAACCACAGCAGGGATGTGACCAAAGCTTAGGGGACCAACTATGAATACTATGAATGTCGAGGGTTGATTTCCTTTATACCCACTCATCCACATAGTGATTAAGAATGTATTTATCAGTTTTTATTATTATCAGGATTTATTTCATGATTATACGCATTACATTTTTTCTTAGCAAATGTCTGAAATAAACTTCTTTGCTTTCTTGCTAAGAGTTAGATGAGAAGATCAATACCACTGTCGTGTCTGTAAGGTAAATTTGAAGCTACCGCCAGCAACCACAGCACAAGTATTTCTTGGGCAAAGTGACTCCCTGAAGTCTCTGGTTGATTGGCAACCTCACATTACGACTCCAGGAAGTCAAGAAATAGTCCACTGACATCTTGTTGACATGATGAAATAAAACTGACTGTCTTTTTTGTCAAAATTCCTTCTTATGTTGGGATATATAGTATTTCTCTTAATTTACTGCAACAGTATACTGGAACATAAGCTGAAACCTGTGTCAACTGCTCACTCACACACACCATCACACTCATCCATCCAAGTTTTCCAAGGAGCTGACCTCTACTCCCCATGGGCAGGGTCAGAGACCTTTTGTACAAGTTGTCACATAAGAGATCTATTAATCACATGAACTGCATATAGATGTGTGTGTACTTCCATTTGTCTCTCTCCATCTTTAGCTGTGAATTTGCAGAAAGGCTAAGTGTGATCCATGATTTTCTGCGCCAGCATGTACGGTTTGATGCGATCCAGACGCAGGCTGCGCTGCAGATTGTTTAGACATGCAACAGACTCACATTTCAATCCAAGCATATTTCATGGTTGCACACTGGCTCCGGTCACAAGTTACAGGGATAAAGTGGAAAACAACGTACTTTCTGTCTGTTTCTGGAGTGGACACCTCACTGCTGAAGCCTAATGATTCCTGAGGACAGAGAAGAAAAAGAGACATATGTCAGAATTACTTTTTAGATTATGTAAAACTGACACTGTTCTGTGCACATAATTTCTCTGCCTACCTGGATCTCAGTGCGGAGCTGCAGCGATGTGCTGCTGGTGTCCTGTTTCTCCTGAAAAAAATGACAGGAAAGAGACAAGAAACAAGATCAAATGTCAGTGTCAAAGATCAATCACTTAATAACACAAGGGCATATGCACTGTAGTGAGAAGACTAGAAACGTAAAATAATTTACTAATGATTTATTAATCATTAGATTTATTAATGGGGAAAAAAAGGTAATTTAACAATGCCCTCATGTGGAAAGTCAGGTTCATGTAGACACACCTGTGTGTCAGTGAAAACAAACACAGGCACGTGTATGGCCAACAACCCACCCATAGATAACTCAACAAGTCAAGTCTTGCAGTTGGTACCCAAACCTGCAATTCTTGTTTTCACTGTTGCTGAGTATAATGGAGGATCCTAGTAAAGTCTTGGCTTTTCCAGTAGAACAAGACATGACAAAAGCACAGAGCCAGTGACGTAGGTGCACACAGGGCAACACCTGCGGATTTGCATCAGATCTGTAGAATCCAGAATGCCATTAATAAATGAAATAACAGCACATAAGGGCAAACTGGCCTATATGGAAATGGCATTTCTAGACTTTGGTTATGCATTTAAGGTACAAACTACTCAAAAGGTTGTAAAAAAAACAGTGGAAAATAGATTAATTTTTAACCACTCTTTACTTTCAAAATGTTGCTTGGCTTCCCCAGCCAACAATTCCTGTCAGGGCTGTTTTCACAGTTACACAAGGCTAATGCTTGCATGTCTAAAGCAGGTGTCTTCATCATAGCATATCCAGATGTGCCTCAAACCAAAATGTTTCTACAGGCAGACACGGGGACTACACAATCACAACAAGTCTGGATCTTAGATTTTAACCTGCAGCACGTGATATTTAAAGCCAGCGAACGGCCTTGAGGGATTGGCCAAGTGTATAGTTTGTGTGTTCTTGAGTGCTTTTGAACTCTCATGGAGGGGATTACACAAGTCCCTGACAAGCCCAATGCTAACAGTCTTGTACTGTGGGATATTAGGCACTGCAGAAACAAATGGGGTCAGCACTTTGCTTGAGGGTTGTGAACAGACCTTCAAAATATGGACCAGGGACTCACCCGCCTGAATCTCTAAACTTGAGGTTACCATCATGTAACCATTGTTGATTTCTAGAGGTAATTTTCTTGCTCACTGCGCAATGAGAAATTTGTGGCTTTACTGTTTATGTGTCATTAATCCTTCTGACATGAGCTAGAGGGTAACAAAAGGACAACTAAGCCCCTATTACTTGCTTCTGTTATACTAAAATAGCAAAAGGAGGCAAAAGGGCAGCACATAAATTGTGACTTCGTGAAAATAGTAATTCATACATGTGGCAGGCTGGAGAATAGTACGCAGACTATAAAGGGCATGGGAATGAGTTTACAGAGGAGGTTAGTCAACCGTATTCTTTAGTGAAGATAATATTAAGGAGAGCTGACCTCGTTGCTTTCATATATTTGAGGAAGTGTCAACACAGTGGTTCCTATTTCTATTTTCTTTTTGTATATTAAGCAATACAGCATACTTGCAGCAAACTTCTCATGATGCAAATGCTGATATTGCCATTTCTATTTTTGTAGAATCTGCCTATAATATCTAATTAAGTAGGGTGTAAAATTAGCTTCAAGGATATGGATGTTAATAACACATACCCTAATATATTGTGTTCTCTGTTCCTCTATAGGACTGTTGCTGAATTTGGTTAACACAAAAACTTCCCTGGTATACCACTAAGTGTTATTACTCTCATACGAGAAAACATCTTAGCTATGTCTGTTTTGTCAAGGCTGAAGACTACTGAATACATGTCAACAAAACAGATAGGGCAGGGTTGAAATTCTAGTCTATTAGCTTGGCAGCGGCCTTGGAGATGACATCAGCCAAGTAGGTTAGATCAGAAGATTATGATGCTAGGTGACTGGCTTCCTAAAACCATAAAATTGCACGAAGAAAAGAGTAATTGAAACTGGAGTTTCCCAAATATAGAGCAGGATTAGGAAATGAGTTGTTTCTGAGAAATGCACATCATTCTCTATCTCCACACCCAGACATTAGATTTTAAGATAACAGTCACAGCAAGCTGCTTTTTCTTCCTACACTTGGTTTGTCATGGTTCCTAATCAGAGTGACATGTAGTTTAACCTTCCCCCCCCCCCCCCCTTTCTTTGAATGGGCTTTGAGCACGGGATTACAATCCTTCCACACTCATCTTGTAAGTATGAGTCAGTGGCTGATAGTTAAAGAACTTAAAAGTGACATAACCTCCTTTAAGAGGTCTTTAAGAGCCTGTAGCCTGCAGGTCATATGAGCAGAAGACCTTTAGTGCTGAGGTGGCTAAAAGCCTCAAAATTAGCCTGAACCCTACACTTATGACAACAGTAATCAACTGAAGGCAGGCGGTAATGATGTCAGTGAGACAGTCTGTCTGGCTTTATCTTTAACGCTAACTTTAGCACTACAAGTCCTCCTAGCCCATTTGCCAGTTTATTTATTTGTCTGTTACAGTCATCAAACAGACAGAGGCACAGGTCTGGATGTTTCTTTAGAAAGTAAATCAAGTCAGAAGAGCTCTGAAAACAATTTGTCCATCCTAGGGAATATGTGATTCCCATAAGTCAGAGAGCAGGTACCTGACTAAGGTCACAAAATCTTAATCTACCAGACCTACAGAGGTACAGGTTTTGGTCTCATTACATTGCCAGGTTGTGCATAAGAAAAATCTGGGAAGGACCTGAATGCCTTTTTCTTACAGAGACAGAGCTTATGTGAGAGAAAGAACACCACATCTATCCCTTAAAAAAGCACAGCTTTGGCAGTCAGCTCTGTTTGAACTGCACGGTGCATAATAATGTGGGTATACTCCAAAAAACCCACATAAAGAAGGAACAAGGTGTGTGCTCTCATGCATTCACAAACGCCACTTCACAAAGGTCATGGCAGATTGGTTTTGCTATCAGATCCTCTTTGGTGGCTCCTCCGGACTGCAGTGACAGGAGAGATATGCCAGTCTCGCCAATGGATAACTACAGGCACCAAACCAACTGGTTGTAAAACAAACAAAAAAACAACACACAGCCACATCGTCAGCCTGGCAAACACACCACACATGGACACAAAAAATATGCAGCCAGACACAGGCCCTGAGCCAAATACATGCCACCACAGACATAAACCTATATAAACACCCAAACCAAGGAGCACCTACACAAACACACACACAGACACATACACTCAGCTCGCCTCCACTTCCTCAGACAGAGCTCCTAAGAGACAGAACCACAAAGCAGCTCTCTGTTCATCCTACTCCTCCTCAGCTTTCCTTCACTCCCTGTCTGTGCGTGCCATCTCTGACATGGATGAAGGGGGTGGTGAGAGGGCAAAAAGATCAGGGGAAGATCAGCGACAAACAAACAAAACCTACATCCTGTTTGCCTTTCACTGCAGATCTGTGAGATGAATTGGTCACAGTGTAGGATGTGGAGAGAAAATCTGCATAAAAGCTTCCCAAGGTAAACCTGGACTTCTGTCAGACTTGTGCACAGCTTACAGAAAAGCAAAAGTGAACAGTGAAGAAGTCGCCAGCGTAACTGAAACAGTTTCTGAAAGAGAACAAAAAACTGATGCACTTTTGAGGGGGTTTCTGTATGCGTGTGCAAGACTTCGATCTCACAACACACCCCCAGAGGGGGTATGCTATCCTTTACATGAACTTACCAGCATCAGCTTGAAATACTGCCCTACTTGCCCTGAAATATGCGTGTCAATGTGCATGCCTTTTTCCCTCCAGATGTCCATAGGGTAAGCTTTGTGCACAATTCACTCAGTGTGTATGTATGTGCAAGTGTGATGTGAATGCAAGACTCTGATTACTTAGGCGTGACTCAATTGAGTTAAAATACGAGAGAGCGAGAGAGAAAGCAGTTAAGGGAGCATATGAGGGAGAGCCTCGACTAATAAAGACTGCTCTGTCTGCAGACAGGGAAGCATCTGAAACGACTGAACCCCACCACATCTAAAAAGGTCCTGTAAAGTGACTGTAATTCCAAGCACCACATTGCTTTCCTTCATAAACCCGGAAACTACAGCTAGCTGCAGGACTTTGCTGCAGGACAAGACAAGGACAGGGTATAAATACAGATGAGTGTGAAATAGCAGCAGTTTAGTAGAAACATGACTGCAAAGCCCACCACAGTGGCGTTACTGCCAACCTCAGAGGCAAATGTAGGCGGATATGCAGCAAAACTAGAGAGACCAGGTGGCTTAGTGGAGGTACGCCAACTGGCATGGTTGGGAGAATCTGGGCGGGCGAACAAGAGGTTGCTAGGTAGGACTGCGCATGTGGAGAGACAGGCACCAACTGGACAGCTTGTTGGAAGAATCAAAAAGACGTTACTGGTGGGACCGGTATGATACCATCGAAGACTGCAGGACTGGCTCATTTAGAAGATCTCATAGGAAGAGAGACACACACACACACACACAACTGCTTAATGGCTAAATTAATTTGTGAGAAACAAAAAACCTTTAGCGCACTCAGTAACACCTCTGCAAGTTTGCTTTCCAGAAGGCTTGAGAGAGTGTGCATGTGTGTGTACGTGCATACTTGCAGCATAGGCTTGCGTGCTTCTTCAGTGTAGGGCATTCCTAAGCCCTGTGGATCATCACTGTTTTGGTATTTCAAGACAAATACCAAAGTTATTACAAATTCCAATGACAGAGTCACAATCTCAACGCGGACAAATAATTCATACAATAAAATTACAAATATACCACTTGCTTTCCACAAGGGTTATGCCAATAATGGAGCTATGCCAACATCATTTGAAAGTAATCTTACGACAACAAAGGCTGCTGTTTGAGCATGTTCAGTTGCCACGTTTCTAAGCAAAAGCCTGGAGGTAGGAAGGACAAACAAGCAGCAGAATTCATGACAGTTTGTCTTTCTTCTACGCTGTAGTTTTAACCCAGCTGAACTGACCCACTTTGAACATACTTCATGCAGGCATTAGCACACTAACCGCTGTTCCTCACCTCATGGCAAAACAAAACACAAGTCTGTACTTGAGTCTTGACCTCCAAATGTCAAGCTACTCAGCTACAAAACCATTACAGAGCATTCCTGAGGCTATCAAATCAATCTGACAACAGCTGAGGCGTTTGTGTCAAAAGCGTTCAATTATGAAGTTAACAGTGAGACAGTGAGATTTTGACCAAAGCATTTCAGGATTTAATCATCAAGACCTCCTTATTTGTCTGCAACTTTCAAAATATTAAAATATTACCACATATACTGCTGCAATGTCCCATTATGGTTTACAGAGATGTGTTAAAAGGTTCACCAGACAACTACAAATTCCAAAATGATCCCGCTTGATTTATATTTGATGTGCTTCTTCTGTTCCATCGCTGTGGTTTGGAAAACTTTCTAATATCTAGTTTGATGTTTTCCTCCAGTGGCTATAAAAAATTATCCACCCAACCTTATCCACCCAACCAACCAGTCTCTGCACGCCTACGGGATCCCTCTTGTAGCTTCTATGTCAATGTTTTTGCATGTTTTCACCTTCAGTAGCAACTACAGTGTTGAAGTAAAGATCTGATTAATAGCCTAAATTTTCACATAATTATCTACAATATAGATCAAATTTATTTGAAGACTTAAAATCACTCAGGATGAAACAAAAAAGCCAGCAATATCTATACCTCCTAGCCCACCTCTAAAAGAAAAAAGAAAAGTACATTATCTAGAAAAAAAAGCAATCCTACAAACCTCCGTAGAACCAAAAAGGACGATGAAAAAACTTCTAATCTCTGTAATTAAAGTATGGAAATGAAATGATATGTAAGTAAACACAGTCTTATTTGCATATAAGATAGGACACCCTGTTATTTCCAATGGACTGAATCATTCTTGAGGTTTTTGTTATTTGATAAATAGATGTAAGAGACAAGACAGATTATATACTTAATTATACAAATTAAATCGACAGCAATTACACAAGCAATTATCCAAAATATAGGCCTGCTAAAAGGATGGATCTTAAATGTATAGGTGAATTACATCTATAATTATCTACCGTTTGTGATTTTGGTATTTAAGTATTTCCGATATAATAAATGCAAAAGATATATGAAATAACAGTAAGCTCTCTAAATATCACTCACTCTGCAGTTAAATCTTTACTTTCACCCTTTGGCCTGACCTTTAAGTGACTTGTCTCTTGAAAAAACATTATGTTTAAGTTGCTGGACTCCAAGCTCTATTAAAAGGAGACCTATTATGCTTTTCCATATTTTATAACTTATCTAAAATGTTGGATGTTCATGTTAAACATGTCCAAAGCTTCAAATAATGAGATTATGTATTTAAAAGAAATCCCTGTGAGCAAAAACCTCAGATTTCCTCCTGTTGTGAACGCTCTGTTGTGAACTGCTTTTTCAACCAACGGCTCCGTTCTACGACATCATTCCATATATGTCATTTGCTTCATCAAGCTAGGCACAGCAACGCTCGGTCAGTCTGTACCACTCAGTGACAACAAGCTTAGTAACATGCCTCAGGTCTTGGCCAATCAGAAGACAGTGGGCTTTGAGAGGGGGAGCCTTAAAGAGACATAATCAGCTTGTTTCAGACAGAGGCTGAAATGAAGGCCTACATGAAGAGCCAGTATAAGACAGAAAATAATTTTTTTGAACTTTGAATCATGCAAAGCTGCCATTCAGGAGTCAGAGAATGGTTCCTATTAATTCCACCAATTTCCTGCATCACCAAATCAGCACGCCAGTGAAAGCCATCCTAGTACTCACTGAAGCCGTCCATGGTAGCTCTAATCCATAGGTCACATTCCCAAACGGGGATGTTTGTTTAACCCCTTTTGTCCCGCTACTCATAAAACTAACATGAAGATGTAGAGGAACAATCCAGCAGAGACCAGTCAGGAAGTGGGTACATCTCAGAGAGCCTCCATCATCAGCTCCTAAATAGGAGAGCTCCACATTTTACCACAACAGACAGCCAACTGAGAGGCCCCATAAGAACTGGCAGACACATTGTGCAAGTGAAAACAAACACAACTGTTAAGCTCCACACATTTTTGTAAAAATGTTAGTGTTACAAGAAATGATTTCGCAAAAAAAAAAAGAGCCAAAATGCCCCAAAAGAAACCAAAAGGTTCCTATTAAAAAAATTCCATACTGTTGCTGAAATAAGAGTCAACTCGAGAATACTTTGGAGAACAGAAACCTAAATAAGAGGGCTTCTTCTTTCTCTTTGGTGACACCATGCTGACCACAGCTAAACTGTAGACACTGGGGCTTTCTTGTGGGAATTTTATAAATGCAAATTGGCAAATGTGTCGTTAGTAGAAAAATTAACATACACAGACTTTGATTCAGACAGTCATCATTTGTTGGCACCATGCTTGACCTTGTCCAGCAGCTCCTTTATCTTGACTTCTGCCTCCTCATGTATTTTGAATGTGAAAACCACAGACGGTCAAAGCTAAGGTGACCTTTGCCCCATAAGTCGCATACCTCCTGACCATAGTGGATTTGGAGTGGCTGTGTTACCTTGGTCCAAAAACGTTACAGTGGAGAGACGTGAGATTTGTCAAAAATAGAAAAGAACTGACCTATAAATTTGGTGTCGAGAGAAAAAGAAAGACAATGACAGGAGAGGAAGTGGTTCTTGTGCAGACATGATTGCATCACTCATCATCCTGTAACCTTTACATGAGGCAGGTCTTTCCCCAAAGGCCAAGTCCCCTAGGAGTGCCCCTTTCTAAATGCATCCCCATTAACATGGCTCATTGTGACCTTCTCTAACCATCCCCTATTGGTCCTAAGGGAGGTGCACTTCACAAGATATAATAGTCATTTAACTACTTTCTTTGTGACTGGGTGTCCATTCCGCCTGTCCTTATCCCAGTCCTCTCGTGTGTTACTTTCAAAATGTATTTCGCTTTTTTGCTCTTGTTTTACAGATCATCCAAAGATCCATGTTAGAAGTACTGTATTGAAACAATATTACAATATAAGAGGAGGAATTTTGCCCTAACCTACTCTTACCCTTGGTATCTTGGTATAGAAAAGGCTGATCTAGACTTGAATATTCCGCAAACCAAGAAAAGGATTGCACTGAAATGCAAGGCAAAGTTCAATCCATATAGCGTGGGTTGATACTGCGCTTTTGAGATCTCTCAATAAGGTGTTGTCTGACCCATATTCATTCCTTCATGTTTTTCTCTCCTATATTTTGGTGCCAAACTTTGCAGTTGAGTAGCAGGGCAGCTGCAGGCTCTCACATTTCCCTTCATTCCCCTCATCCTCCTCTGTTCTTCTTCCTCTGTTCACATCCTTATCCTCCTCCTGTGCTTGGCTTCAGGCTCTGGGCCCAGTCAGCTCTTTTTCTCTCTTCTTACGCATGGGCTGCAAAGTCTGCCTTGATTGCTTCCTCTCCCCCTGTTTTATCCCCTCAGGATGAAACCTTCCGAAACTATACAGTGTCCAGAGGTTATCCACATTACCCTGCGAAACTCACCTGATGGAAAACTATAGAGAATGGCCACACAGAGAGAACACGTAACCAATGATCAGATGCTAAATGCAACTAAGCATCTCCTCAAAGCTGTGAGAACATCATGTCTGCCTAAAGTCATTAAAACAGAAGAGTGCAATAAATCAAATATCCATCTAAGCCATACCTGTCAGCCCAACCAAAACCACATGGCTGGGTGCCTTCAAGCAAAAGGGGTCTCCTATTAAGCTGGAAAACCAGTAATGACGGACAAAAATATATGAGCAGAGACAATTTGGACAGGGGATAAATAAGAAAAGCCGAGGTAACATAATATCAGTAACAGCTAAATCTGTGGGGGGAGAACTGAATCATTATTTTGTCAGGCAGTACAATTATATGTGTGACACCTAAATGGCTCATTACACTATTTGTTTTTTTTAAGCACATCTATATTGTAGAGTAGCAGCCAGCCTACATCAGAAAAACAACAACAAAGTGGCTATTTTTCACATCTATTTGTTTTGGAAATTGAGCACAAATGATAAGGGTTCAAACCAATTAAATTCACCATGAATAAGTCATAGGCCAATTATGAAGTTAGCATAACACTCAACACTTTTTTGTGGACCTACTGGGTAGTGTGCTGCACAAAGCTAGGCCCTGTAACAGCACCAGCAGCATTCCTTCATACATTTGTGTGCAGCTTGGCAACCAAAGGGGTGCCCCACTACCCTACATCCTTGTGAAAAGGACCCCCAAACACCCCCCACATGGACCTCCAGAACACCACTGCATTCACATCCAGAAAAGGCATACCGCCTTTGGGGAAAGTCTCAACCTTTAGAACACATTCATGTGCGTTCTGTTGCCGTTGATCCTTGCCAGGTTGTTGGCTAACATTGTGGAAATTACACTCAGTGAAGCTGAGACCATTCTGAAAGGGGGATTTTAGGGTCATTATTAAAGGATTTGCTAAAAAAAAAAAATCATTTGTCCAAAGTCATTTTAAGGCATGTAAACTGAGTAGAGAGTGAGAAATGTTGTGGCTGACAGCTGTTTTTGCTCAAACAATGTTGCTAAGCAAGTTTTTTCCCCTTCGTTTATAGGTGTTTAAGTTTGCGTTTACCATGTCAAGCTCTTGGGAGACTCGTCTTTTGCGCAGCTCTTCCATGCGGTCGCTGACGTCACTGAAGCAGGTGTTGTAGTACTCCGAGTACTCCTGGGCAAGGTCATCTATGTTGCCCAGAGAACCATCCTGGACAGAGGAAGAGAGGGAATGGTTTAGCCAGGGAACTATAACAGCCTGACAAAGAAAAGCTGATAATCTAATTCTACAGGGGTAAGGGGTGGGGGTTATCATAAAAACTCCATTTGGAGAATTTGTTATTGTAACAGCAAAACTAGCAACACAAAAGAAAAACTGTTTCTGTTAAATCTTTTTCTGAACTCCATTTTTCATTAATTTGCATATACAGTAAATACAACATCCCACCAGTGCCTCAGGAAAGGAAAAAGCCTGATCAAGCTAGTACACTGTGTAACAAACATGCCCTTCCATCTTCTCCAGTTACCAGCTTTATAAAACCACTGTCACATACACTTACAATTAGTGGTGTATAAAAGGTACCTACAGGCATGCATTTGGGTAAACCCGGCATGGCTTAAGGGTGGCACAGGGATACAAACGTAATCACTCACACACCACCATTTCCAACACTGCCTCACAGGTTTAATGTGTTAACTGAATATTTTGTTTGTTCGACAGAAGATGGGAACAAAATTTAAGAATTTGTATATGGGTGGTTCCGCTAGTTTAAAAGCTGGTGCAACTACAGCAAACCAGTAAAACACACATGTACAGAGTAGTGTTGTTTTTTCTGTTCACCAGTCTACTCACACACTCCATACAAACAGAAAAACCTAAAAATATCAAGTCCCATTCAGTGAGTGTCTTTGGCCAGCCATGATTTGATCCTGGGTTTTGTCTTTATCGAGGCTCATATCAAGGGTGCCCTTTACCTCATCAGACGTTCACAAAACTCCAAACCAAACTCTTCCGCTTAGCTGTAGTTTAGATCAGCACAGTTCCTGTCTTTGTGTGGAAGACATGGTGTTTAGGATTGAGGGAGGAAGCAGTGCTCCAAACAGTAAAGACCTTACATAATGGAATGCTCTTTGGATATAATGTTCTGTAAGTTCATTTTAGAAATGTTAATAGTGTAGCAGGTTCAAAACTTGGGTTCTATGAAAAGAAGTCAAACTGTCAACACAGGGGCCTGTATCATAAAGAAAGATTATAAAGTTAGCTGGGATCAGTTACTTTTACATTAGTCCACATTTCAGGTTTCAAATATAGACTGATGTGAAAACAAATCATCTGTGCTGTAGTTAATGCAGTTATCCAGCTAACTAGTCATGACCAGAAAAAAGAAATCTGAAAACTTTGCTTAGCTAAGCCCCTTATAATTTTTGCAGGACATAGAGCAATCTCTTTTGTACAATGTGAGAGTCCAACTCTCATCTCTTGCCTTGGTAAAAATGTAGGCCATTCTGGTAATGATGGCCAACTGTTGAATATTCATCAGTGTTGATCTAATCTGTGCCAGGCAGACAGCTAGCATTGAGTCACTGTTCAGGGTCCGAACAGTCTCTCTCAGTCTCTGTCTTTCTCAACCGGACTCCCTATTAGGGTGCCAGGCCACAAATGAATGGATCACTGTGAGTGTGAGTTGAGTGTGCCACACACATACATATACACACACAGGGGCATAGGGACCCTGTGGACACATATTAGCATGCACACACATGCATGCAAGAGATTTCAAAAACATTGGACCAAAACAAACTGAGACAGGCCAATAGTATACAACACAGCTCAGTGGAGTGAGTTATGAAAGAGAAGTTCCTGATTGTTAGTGATGTTGTGTTCAATGTACAAACAAATGTTCTGTCTCAAAAATCCAGTTTGGCTCGCTCTGATCTATCCTCCCACTCTCATTACTTGAGAAATCCTGTTTTGGCCAGACATAAGGTTCGAGATTCCCAGAGGGAGCACTCCTTGAGCCGACACTATGCTTTCCCCTTCATTCCTCACACTGACTGAAAGCACTCTCTCATTACAGAACCCCAGGAAATTTTAATCACCATTCACATGCCATGACTGTGCTTATCCTTTAGCCATATCCAGAAGATAAAAATGAACCCTGACCTGAGATTACACCAACTATTGCCATGGTGGCAGAATTAATTAATCAGCGCTGTCACTTTTCTGCCCCCCCCACTCCCACAGGAACAATGAATGTAAACCTCAGCTGTTGACAGGTAAAGCTGACGTTCTAAGACTGAGGAGTGTCTGTGACTGAATGCATCCACGTGTGTGGAAACACTCACGTGTGTGAGTAGATAACTGGGATTCCTCCCATTCACCAGTGGCAATTGCTCATGTGGGTCCAACACAGTTGACCTCCACCACCACCTTGTAAAGTGATACTGCATATGCTCAGTTATGTATATCCACTATGAGACAACACATGAAAACAAGTGAAAAAGAGAGCAAAATTCTTTGGGAGAATTGCGGCGGGTGAGAGAACGTGTTAAGAAAGGTAAATCAACTGTTAGATCGGCTGTGTGTGTATGTGTGTGTCTCAACAGATGAGTGAGCATTTAGTCCACATTTTAGAGATTATCTGTCAATGTGGGAGTGTAGGTGAGGAGATCTGACAGTGGTCCACACATCCAGTTTGGAAATGTAGGCAGGGGGCTGGGGGTGGAGGCTGGACAAGAGATGATTTGTGGGATACTGACTAGGGCAGCTGTGGGGTGAGAGGAGGATAAAACATCTGGAGTCTGGGAAGAAAAAAATCCACATGTATAAGAGAGATTCTATAGATGTGTATTAAAATCCCCCACAGCTTACCTGACCCGGAAAGCATACTGGTCTCTGTGTCACATAAAAAACCCTAAAACAATTCTCCCTCTAAAAATATCCTTTGAAATCAATTTAGAAATGGATTAACCAGAATAATAAAACACATCTTGATTCATGGAGGTATGTGAAATCGAAACTAATAGCATTTCAGCTGATGTAACTGCTTCTCCACCCTGGATGTGAGGGAGGCCAACTCCCAGTTTTGACTCGAACAATAGTCATACAAAAAAAACAACACCCAAGCAAAAATGTGCGAGTGAGTTTGTGTGTATTAACAGTAAAGAGTGTGCAAGTGTTATTTACTGTTCAAGCCCAAGATTTTTGCTCAATCAAGATGGCTACTCCCAATGTGCAGCTGCAATTTGTCAGACTTCAGTGAACAAAACCGTGTTGCATGTCATTTCTGTTCCAAAACTTTGCACAATTCAGAACAGGGAAAAGGTACTGAGAAATGTTATGGCACACTGCTGAAGAAGACACTTGTGAGAAGTGCTAGTCTGTGTAAAAGCCACAATCACAGTGAAATAGCGGCTGCCATGTCATTCCACCATAAAAACGCAAATTACTGGCATTGCACCACACTGGATAAATATTTCAGAAATGCATGATACGATTGCTACTGAGCCATTACCAAGTGATTTACACAGTATTGAGGAAAGATTGCTTTGGAGTGATGGAGATAGTTAGCATCCATGTCAGAATTCAGATATATAATAAATATAGTCCATCCTCTGAATCTCATGGCAATGGCATCCCTGGCATTCTTCCACAGAAGTTGTCTCTTCAGACATTCAGTCAGGTCATTATAAATCAGCCACTGTCACCATTAACACAGACCGGAGTCTGCTATTGCACCGAAATACAGCATAACATGTTCTATACATAAATTTTCTAAATAGTGTTGTTGGCTAGACATGTTCATTAAAAGTGATTGCTCTAATGTGTCTAGGGTTGGAGACCCGGTTCCAAAAGGACCCAGTTCACTGTTCATTTTTGTATTTCATAAATACTTTGTTGTTAGGTTGTTAGCTGTACTTTCTATTATTTCAGATAAACACATTGCCAAGAATGTGCAGTCCACAGCTGAAGTGACATTTTTTTTTTTTTTTCAAGACAGAACATCTGAACGACACACCACAAAACCAGTCTCCTGCAAAGTTATTAGAAAATTCCACAGCCAGCATGCAAGGCACTGATAACTTGGGTCTCCTTTCGTGCTTAGGAATCCCTGCCAAGGCGCACAACTAATCTTGCAATCAATTTACACTCAATTCCTGCTTTCCACATCATGTTAGATGTTGCAAAGTATCTCAAAGAAAGTGCTAATTTATAATAACCATAGAGAAAGACATTCTAAAAGGCTAAAAGGCGGCCTAACATGTTTGTTTCGGTCTATCCTTTGGGCTCACATTCCTGACAGCACCATCATAAAGGGGCTCACTTGTGTTGGGATTGAATGGCAGTGTACATGGTTTTAACTATTGTTACAGGATTGGCCTTGTGTCTACAGGAACAATGACAACAGTTAACAATAGAACCATGTATCTGATGTAATGCTAGAACGTCAGTAGTATGATCACTTTCACTTGCTATGCAACATTAAGACGGGTGCAGCAGGTTGGAATTGCTACTAACTGTCTTGTATTGTGCTGTATTGTACTAATGCTTTGTCAAGGACTGAACCAAGAGAACTGTCCACATTCATCCTGAGTCATCATCTTAAACCCAACCTGCGAGAGATCGCCTGTCCAACACACAAATCATCATCAAAGTAATAGCAAGTAATCTATCCTTTACTCCACCCAGTTCCCCCAGCTCCACCAACACCAACCATTTGACCATCCCCATTTTTTTCCTGGACTGGTACAGTAGTGTCACTGTGCTGCCAACTGATGATAGAAAACAGACCAGAAGGAGAATGAAATGAAGTCACATGTGAGAAATGTGGGAAAAGATAAGGGAGGACAGGTGGATGAAAAGAAAGCGCAGCTCATGTGTCATACTGCATCATCCAACTACAAAAATGTTGGATCTACTGTAGTGGGGAATTCCGCAAAACACAGCAAGTAGAAGGCTGACTAAAAGATGTAGTGTTGGCCTTGGGAGCCAATGGGGGAAGACTGTCGAGGAAGGTGAGGCCAGGGGGCATAGCCCACCCTGTTAGAGGGCTTCCTGAGGATATCCGTGGCTTCAGGAGAACAGTGCTTTGCCATCCCAGGAGAGGAAACCTGCCAGATCTCTATGTGACCTCAATAATGAGACCAGTCAGGGAGGGGGAGCAAAGCAGGAGTGAGCTGAGTCGGACTGGGAAACAAAAGACAAAATTA